AAAGAAGGCTTCTGCCTGTCCCTCTGAGAGCTGGCCATTGGGAGTGCCAGAATGGAGTCCTTCCATGAGCAAGAAACTTTTTTTTTTTTTTTTTTTTTTTTTTTTTGCTGCGGTGACGTGCATCAGAGCAGGTAAGACTGCGCTGGGCAAGGGATCTCAAGTAAAAGTCCGACCAAAAAAGCTCTTTTTAGGGCTAGTTTGAAGCTAGCAGTGGTGCCGCGCTGCTAGCGCGGATCTAGCAGCTTGTGGGCGGGATCTTGACTCGGCGGGGGTGGTGCCGACACTGCCTGCTCTTTATCTCTGGGGCTTGACCTTGACCCATTTGTTGTGTGGATAAAAATAGACCAGGGAGGGTGGGAACCGGTTCCCGCCCACATAACACAAGCCAGAAGGTGTGGAAAGCTGCTCTGACCACCTAGGGTGGAGGTAGTCAGTGTGTGAGGGCCACTAGCACTTCATTGCCCATTCATTAAGGCAGCAGTGGGGAGCAGAGGCTGTGTCTTGTGTCAGCAAGGGTGGGTGCTCTTGTCTTTTTCTCAGGTGACTGGCTCTCCTGTTTACACTGACACCACCCCTTCAGTCGTGGTCCTCACCAGGAAACGTGCTTCCCATGCGAAGACTGTGGCAACCCAGACAGAGGGTCTGCTTAATAATGTGGCGGTTCAGGTCTCTGGCTGCCGGGAGTGCCTCAGCCTGCTGCTGCCAGGGGAGGATGGGAAGGATGCCACTTGTGTGCGGTGTGAGCAGCTGGATGAGCTGCTCAACCTGGTGGTGGAGCTTAGGGAGGAGGTAGGTAGACTGCGGACCATCAGAGAGTGCGAGCGAGAGATTGACTGGTGGAGTGACTCTCTGCGAGAAAGGCGCAGAGATTGCACTACCCAGACGGAGGGAACAATGGACCCTCTCTCTCATTGTAGTCAAACAGGGAGAGACAGCTTGAGAGAAGATGAGGAATGGCAGCTGGTCTCATCCCGGCGTCGCAGGCAACCCCCAAGTTCTCGACCTACCTCGGTTCCCCTGATCCCTCTCTGTAATAGGTATGAAACCCTGAAACCAGAGGGAGAGGTGACTGATGATAATGTGGGAGCACTGCCGCCAAGCTTGCCTAAGGTGAGGCGGTCAGCTCCGTGTTTAAAGACTGCCTCCTCCAAGAAAGAAAGGAGAGTGGTAGTTGTAGGTGACTCTCTTCTGAGAGGAACAGAGGGTCCAATATGTCGGCCTGACCCTACCCGTAGGGAGGTGTACTGCCTTCCTGCAGCCCGGGTCAGGGATATTTCTAGAAAACTCCCCAGCCTTATCCACCCCTCTGATTATTACCCTCTATTGATAGTTCAGGCCGGCAGTGATGAGATCCCTGTTAGAAGCCTGAGGATTATAAAAAATGATTTTAGGAGACTGGGGAAGTTAGTTGATGGAGCGGGCATACAAGTAGTGTTTGCCAGCATTCCCTTGGTGGCAGGGATGAACGCTGAGATGACCAGGAAAAGCCATCTTATAAATGCATGGCTGAGAGGCTGGTGCAAGCGTAAAAATTTTGGATTCTTTGATCATGGGGTGGTCTACTCGGCATCTGGCCTGAGGTCTGCTGATGGGAATTGCTTGTCTCCAAAAGGGAGACGGATACTTGCCCAGGAGCTGGCGGGACTTGTAGAGGAGGCTTTAAACTAGATAGGAAGGGGGAGGGGGATAAAGCCAGGCCTGCTAGAGAGCAGCCTGGGGAAGTGGTAGTGGGATTAGGTGAGAGGCGAGGGGCTCAGCTGAGGTGCGTCTACACTAATGCACGCAGCATGGGCAACAAACAAGAAGAGTTGGAAGCCATTGTGCAGCAGGCAAACTATGACCTAGTTGCCATAACGGAAACGTGGTGGGATTGCTCCCACGATTGGAGTGCTGCAATGGATGGCTATAAACTCTTCAGGAAAGATAGGCAAGGAAGGCGGGGTGGAGGTGTAGCTCTCTATGTTAGGGAATGCTTTTATGCTACTGAGATTATGACTGGGGACGATAACGTTGAATCCCTATGGGTAAAGATCAGAGGAAGGGCTGACAAGACAGGCACCCTGGTGGGCGTCTGTTATAGACCCCCAAATCAAGATGAAGAAACAGACGAGGTATTCTATAAGCAGCTGGCACAAGCTGCACAGTCGCCTGCCCTTGTCCTCATGGGGGACTTTAACTTCCCTGACGTATGCTGGGAGTACAGCACAGCACAGAGGAAGCAGTCTAGGAGGTTTCTGGAATGCGTAGAGGACAACTTCCTGATACAGCTGGTCAGAGAGCCCACGAGAGGAACTGCCCCACTGGACCTGCTGTTCACAAACAGGGAAGGTTTGGTGGGAGATGTGGAGGTTGGAGGCTGTCTTGGACAGAGTGATCATGAAATGATAGACTTCGTGATTCACAGTGGAGCCTGGAGGGGGAATAGTAATACTGCTACCTTGGACTTCAGGAGGGCGGACTTTGAATTGTTCAGGGGACTAATAGGGGGAGTCCCCTGGCATTCAGTCTTAGCGAGCAAAGGGGTCCAAGAGAGCTGGTTACTCTTCAAGAAGGAAGTCTTAAGGGCGCAGGAGCAGGCAGTCCCCCTGAGCTGCAAAATGAGCCGGCGGGGAAGAAGACCGGCGTGGATGAATAGGGAGCTATTCCTGAGGCTCCGGGAGAAAAAGAGAATCTACCACCTGTGGAAAGAGGGACAGGCCACTCAAAATGAATACAGGAAAGTTGTTAGGATGTGTAGAGGTGAAATCAGAAAGGCAAAAGCCCAGCTTGAATTTAACCTAGCTGCTGGTGTGAAAAGGAATAAGAAACTCTTTTATAAATACATTAACAGTAAGAGGAGGACAAAGGAGAATATCCACTCTTTGCTGGATGAGGCTGGGAATGTGACCACTGAGGATAAGGAAAAGGCGGAGGTTCTGAATGCCTTCTTTACGTCTGTCTTTAAAAGTCAGACCAGTTATCCTCAGGATACCCCTCTCTCTGACCTGGTAATCTCGGCTGGGGAGCGCACTAACCCCCCTGTGATTCTGAAAGAAACAGTCAGAGACCTACTGCTCCAGCTGGACTGTCACAAGTCGATGGGGCCAGATGAGATCCACCCAAGAGTGCTGAGGGAACTGGCGGAGGTGATAGCCGAGCCGCTTTCCATCATCTGTCAGCGCTCCTTGTTGACTGGTGAGGTCCCAGAAGACTGGAGGCTTGCCAATGTGACTCCCATTTATAAGAAAGGTCGTAAGGAGGATCCGGGGAACTACAGGCCTGTCAGCCTGACCTCGGTGCCAGGGAAGGTTATGGAGCAGATCGTCTTGAGGGAGATCATGCGGCATGTGCAGGGTGACCGGGGGATCAGGCCTAGCCAGCATGGGTTCATGAAGGGCAGGTCCTGTTTGACCAACCTGATCTCCTTCTATGATCTAGTGACCCATCTGGTGGATGAGGGAAAGGCTGTTGATGTGGTCTACCTAGACTTCAGCAAAGCCTTTGACACTGTCTCCCACAGCATTCTCCTGCAGAAGCTGGCAGCCAGAGGCTTGGATGGGTACACTCTTGGCTGGGTAAGGAGCTGGCTGGAGGGCCGGGCACAGAGAGTGGTGGTGAATGGAGTCAAATCCAGCTGGCGACCGGTCGTGAGTGGTGTTCCCCAGGGGTCGGTGCTGGGGCCTGTCCTCTTCAATATCTTTATTGATGACCTCGATGAGGGCATCGAGTGCACCCTCAGTACATTCGCAGATGACGCCAAATTGGCTGGAAGTGTGGATCTGCCTGGGGGTAGCGAGGCCCTACAGAGGGATCTGGACAGGCTGGAGAGCTGGGCTGGAGCCAATGGGATGAGTTTCAACAAGGCCAAATGCCGGGTCCTGCACTTCGGCCACAACAACCCCAGGCGACGCTACAGGCTTGGAGCGGTGTGGCTGGAGGACTGCGTAGAGGAAATGGACCTGGGGGTATTGATTGATGCTCGGCTGAACATGAGCCGACAGTGTGCCCAGGTGGCCAAGAAGGCCAATGGCATCCTGGCTTGCATCAGAAACAGTGTTGCAAGCAGGAGCAGAGAGGTGATTGTTCCCCTATATTCAGCACTCGTGAGGCCGCACCTCGAGTACTGTGTCCAGTTTTGGGCCCCTCACTGCAAGAAAGATATTGAGGCCCTGGAACGTGTTCAAAGAAGGGCAACAAAGCTGGTGAGGGGTCTGGAACACAGGCCATATGAGGAGAGGCTGAAGGAGCTGGGAATGTTCAGCCTGGAGAAGAGGAGGCTCAGGGGAGACCTCATTGCTCTCTATAACTTCCTGAAGGGAGGTTGTAGTGAGCTGGGGGTCAGCCTCTTCTCTCGTGTCATTAGTGATAGGACCAGGGGGAATGGTTTCAAGCTACGGCAGGGGAGATTCAGGCTGGACATGAGGAAGTATTACTTTTCAGAAAGGGTGGTCAGGCACTGGAATGGACTGCCCAGGGAGGTGGTGGAATCACCGAGCCTGGGGGTGTTCAAGGAAAGGCTGGATGTTGTGTTGAGGGACATGGTTTAGTAGGAGCTATTGGGAATAGGTGAACGGTTGGACTGGGTGATCTTTTAGGTCTTTTCCAACCTTAGTGATTCTATGATTCTATGATTCTATGAACTCACAAATGGATTATTTTTTCTTCCCTTCCATGCACATTCTTCACTTTCACACCACACAGAGTATGAAACCAACACGAGCCTTCCTTTACAACCATTCACATGCTACACATACGTAAAAGCTTTCCTATAGGAACTCCTCTCTCTGGCTCCCAAACTCTTTCTGCTGGGGATACACAACAGTCGCTCATTCAGCAGGACGCATACAGACTTCCTCTTAATTAACAGTGGCACGAGTGTGTATCAAGAAAAACTCCACGCTGATGGTTTGCCCAACGTCACTTGGCAATGTCCCTTTAATATTAATACACAGAGAAGTAAATTTTTTTCATAAATTTGTTCAAGTATGTGGAACAATGTAAAATGCATAAGAATCAATATGGACATCATTAATGTTATATTTATTTATTTTCCAGCTTCGTACAAACTGGATGTAGAAGCATAAACATAGTACATTTCTACCATTTTCAACAAAAATATAACCAATATGTACAATTATTGTATTAAAAATACAAAAGGGATACAGACTCCACCAATGTCTTTCTAAAAGACATACAGGTACAAGTAGTATCAAAAGTATGAGGAAATCACCAGTTAATTGTACATTCTGCACTTGACATCACAGAGCGAACTGAGATTAGCAGTCCTATGGTCTACAATTACTTTATGCTTATATAACATTTGTGCAACTTGTGATAGAGCTAGGATTTTGTGTTTCTATATGCACATGAGGTCCATAGCCTTGAGAATAAAACTGGCAAATAATGCATATTGCATGTAAAATTACAAATGCATAATTGACAACGTGATATATAAGCAAATAGACAAAAGCTATGATTACAGGAGAGAGAATTAAATAAAGCACTGACATTTGCCTGATACAGTGAAAAAACACTGCATTTTGATCTTTAAAAGTTGAAGTTATTTACGTTTATCTACTGATCAATATGATCAGCTGAGTTCAATGGAAAAAAAAAAATATCCAAGACCAGCAGTTCCTCACATTTGAGTACTACTCGGATTGGCAGCCTTCACTTCTCCGGAGTCTGTGCAAAAACAACACAAAAATAGAGGGGAGGGTCATTTCAGTCGTTATAGGTTAATAGCAGCTGTGAGCAGGTGGTTGCTACACATTGGCCTTCTCTACACATGCAGTGTTCCACAAAGCCATTAACAGTTGTGACTATTTCTGCATTGCAAAGGCTGGCGTATCTAAAAAGGTTATTCTTCTTTACTTAAAGGCTTGTTTATCCCCCTAATGCCAAGTCAATAGATGGAGGTTATTAAATCAATATTAACAGCTGTCAGGAGCTGTGCCATCCCAGCTTGCCTTCACTGCAACGTTATCCAGTTAATTTTTCTCGTAACATACCTACTATGGAGTAAAAAAAAAAAACAAAACAAAACCAGAAATCATATATAACTTAAAGGCGAGGTTGCCGTCTGTCTCGTTAGAATGGGATACTTTGTTTTGAGCACGCCGTCCTGTATCCCACAAGGCACAGGTACGAGGCATGGTGTCCGCCGTTCCTTCGCTGGAGAGCTGTAGGCGCACGGCTCTGCACTGATCCTAGACCCAACGCCATCCCCGCTAATGGGCACGAGTCTGGAAGCTTCCAGGGTGGGGGATGCACTAAGAGAGAAGCTAGATGGTTGGGAACGGCTGCGTCCTGCAGCCTCTGCCTTCCCTTCTGCCCTGCTCAGCCATGCGGCAGGTAGATGCTATCTGGGAGCTGAGGCTGGCAACCCTACTTACAGGTAGGAAATAATACTGTAATTACTAGGCAGATGCAGGATTTGATCTCGGAACACAAACGTACAAAACTGTAACAAAGGCATTGTAAACAAGCAAATAAGCACTGCCTCCTTGAAGGATTTCAATGCATTCCACTCTTGGTAGGTTAAAGGCCAAACGTAAATTGACAACTAGCTTATCTCATTATCCCAATGAGACTAAGTGCTAGGATCACGATTAAAATTGAAAAGGAAGATTAAAAAACCCTTCCAGGCATTGGGAAGTGCAGCCAGAATTATCATCTTGCTGTGATGATCTTGGAATTTGGAATGATACTGTGTGATGTGGCAGACAGCGACAGTGGTAGCTTGGAGATTGCTGCACTGTGCATTTCAAGCAACACAGTTTGAAAAGTGCCAGGGCGATTTCTTCACAGTATTTCACATGCAAAGGGGAGAGAGGACAGAAGGGGGGTTTGAGGGGGTGGGGGTGGAGGAAGAAGCCCCATGCTGCTTTAAGGCAGGGAAGGAGGCAAACAGGTCCACCATCCTTTAACTATAGTTCCAAGGCTCCTATTCTAGGGACATCTTCTTGTGCTCTCCTTTAAGGTGGTTCACTCTGGATCCAGAAAAGCCCCAAGTCTTAAACAGCAGAGACTTGTTCATCTTCTGCAAACACAATAAGACAGGGGAAAACATCATTTAGTTCATGTAGACGAAGACTGCGACTAAATGAAACAACCTGTACTGTGTTCGCATGCTTTCTGTCCCCATCAGGTACATTAAAAAAAGAAAAGAAAAAAGGAAAGAAAAAAAAAAAGAGAATCTGAATATCTTTACATTTCAGGTCTCATGAGAAGCACTTCTCTGAAATTTTATTCTCAAAGAAAATAAGACAATTGCTATTCTGAGCTAGGTGCAGTATTCTCAGGTCAAGAATGTGACAGCTACTCCTGAATATCTAACAGCTTCATAAAGCAGTTCTTACGTTTTTCCTTGAATGTATCTGACAGAAGTCACCATTTCCTAGTGGAAATTTTGAATTTCGCCTTAATTTTTGAGTTAAGGTTGCATAAAAATGACCGTGGCTTCCATTGTCACCGGTAAAACACAATTAAAATTGTCAAACTGCCACAGCAGTTCTGAAAGTTTGAGGTAATTCTATTAAAGGGATCTCATCTTTTTTGTCATGTTTGACTGCAGAGTTCATGCTGCACACAAGAGCTCTAGTAACTAAGCAGTTAGGGAGGGAAGGAGACAGTTAGCCTTTCTACCATTAGACAGAACAAAGCATCAAAGATTCAGATGCGTGACTTGAGCATTACCCTGCTTAGGCTGCAAGCATCTAGCTCTAAAGATGCAATCCAGCCACACTCACACTCCACAGAATAACAGAAAGACCACGTGCACATGGTCTTTATATCGCAATAGCTGAGCTAAAGCATAAAGATTGGCAAAGCAAGATAGCAAAATCATGTGAAGCAGTTGGTATGGAAGACCCAGCAATGGGAAACTCCACAGTGTCAGAGTTTCAGCTACAACACTGAGTGATTACCCATCTGAACCCCACCAACGATGCTCTCTGGGGTAGGCATTTGTAGACTGAGATATATATTGTGAGCTAGTGCCAAACACAGATATTTTCAGGGCAGCCAGCTCTTTTTACGTGGAACGTAGGCACCTCAAAAGAAGTTGCCTAAGCCAACTGCTTGGTTGTCTAAGATTCAAGGCGGAAATACATTCCAGATTTTAAATGATGTTTTGAGTGAACTGAATCCTTCTCCTTCCAAAAACTAAAACAGACGGCAAGGTTTGAAAGATGGAAACTCAAATTATAGCAAGAATTTCTACCGCAGTAATCACTAGCATAATCTACCCTGCGACTGTGAAAACAATGAACACACTTGCACGCAGCACACTTAAAATTTAACAATTAGAAATTTACCATCTTCCTCTGTGGGAAACCCTTGAGACTGATAGTGAGTAAGACGTGGATCTGACTCGTTTGGTTTGTGCCACTGAGGTTTGCTCAAAGGCCTGCTAGTTGAATGGCCATGTGACTGCTGCTGCTGAGCTGACGTCCCATGGGTCTCACACGTCCGTGCCACCATTCTAGACCTCTGAAGTGCTACGTTGTAATCCGGAGGCTTTCTAGTTGGATGGGAAACACCTTCTGCAAACTCAGCAATAGGAATTCCGACATAACCAGGAGGAGTTGGAGGTGGTTCCCGATACCGACCTTCTTTTCGTGCTGCAAGAAAAACAGATTATTATGAAGTGATAAGATGAAAACTGCTCGAATTAAACAGTGAGAGTCAAACACTGATCAACTCGTGAACCCGGGAAGAAAAATCCTGAAGAAGGATGAAAGTTAAACACTACATAGTACATAATGAGATACTGAAAAATAAACCATATGAGAAAACCAAAAATATACAACATATGCATGATACCATTATTCTTCCAGTAATGAAGTATTAATGAAAAGAAATTCACCAAATGACACGAGGAGTTTGCTCTAACTTAGCAGCTGAAGCTGCTCCATCAATTACACAGAATGAAACATTCATTGGTCAGAGACCAGCGATGTGGAAGACACAAGAGTCCACAAAAGTGACGGCCATCATGAATATCAGCATCTCCCCAAAAGCATGTCTATCTTAATCTTGAAGATGCACTTTGTCCTTAAAAGCTCATCTGTGTCGTTCTTAGCAGCTTGCTGGCAAAGGAAAAAAGGAAAGAAAAAAAAAGAAAAAGAAGAAGAAGAAAAAAAAAAGGACCGGATTTCTTTCTACAATCCTTACTAACTAAGGCAAAGCTACAGATGAGGTAAGAGTAATAGACCTAATTCTCATGTTTTTTGCATGCATCACTGACCACTGCTCTTGTGGTTTCAATTTCTGCAAAATTAAGTCTTGAAATCATTCCTGCAAGAACACTAATTGAACAAGATTTTGTACAGGAGATGGAAAGCCCACATACTTCGTGGATCTCATTGATGTTTAGCTGTTTACCTGAACAAGAATTAACTCTGGCCATAGCCAGTGTACCCTTGCAGAGAGAGGGAAGAAAGAATGATGAAGAGTTTTAAACAACTTCAGGAACAGACCAGACGGGCACTGATTTCATGATTCTGTATTGTGGGATTTCATATTTAAAGATGTTAATTAGGACTTCGATCCTGAACAGTTTTTGTGAGTCTAACCCTTTTATGTGACTAGTCACAGTACAAAGGCAAACACAGCAGGTAAAAAAAGCCTGGCACAGCAAATTTACTCTTCCTGTCTTGTCATACCCTGTATAATCTTGCACAAGTGATGAGGACAGTATCACCCCGCATTATGCAGTACAAAGTTGACTGAAAGGGCAGTACCAGCTCACAACTGGCTTTAGTGGGCTGGTGGGTTTTTGCTTTTACTATTAGCGAACCAAATCGTCTCACGTGGAATCCAAATGCTTTTCTTGCACAAATACATGCAACTGAACAAAGCAACATGAAGAAACTTTGAGAATTTTTGTTCAAAGATTTCAGAAATTTTGATTTTAAGTAATTTTGACATAGAATAAGTTCTGTTGAAAAATTCCACTGCAAGAGATCAATGATACCCAGAGCTGCATTTGCAAGCACAGGTATTAGTACTGAATGCATGGAAGTTACACAGTTGCAATTTTTGGATCTTTTTCACATTCTCCAAGGTCTATAAATGTATATAAGTGTAGTGGCAAGCTCAGCCATGAGAGGCAAGTCTGGAAGCACATCTGTTGGTGAAACCAAATGCATCAAAGAGTAAAATCAGAGACTGGCACAAATCAGAACCTCGAGTCCTGAACTGAGCAGCTCCCTCCTTTTCACAGCTCAAGGATCCAGAGCTGCACCCAAGCTTTGCAGCAACAGGCCACGGCTAAGCAAAATACTTGGGCAGAAAATGGAAAAGCAGCTTATCACAACGGCCTCAGCATGACTTCAGCATGGCAGACTTTTTCAGCTGTGTCAAAGCAAAATGGCTTTCAGATGGCTCTTCGTAATAACCTGAGGAAAGGCACTCACAGCAAAGGGAAGTGAGAGATGCAAAAAATGTGGAGGGGTCTTGGATGGCCCTGTGACATCTGGGATGTGTAGAAGGAAAAATATGAGAAGTGTTAAAACACTGCCAAAGCTACCTTTATGTTAATTTATACATTATTACCTCACTGGATGATTATAAATGCAATACAGCCCTGATTTCTTAAGGAATCTCTTCAATTTGAGTAATCTAAAGAAATGCCTCAGCTGGTGTCTAAACACAAAGTGACCCCATTGTTAGAAGGAAGGAACATTCAAAAGTAAGGAATCATCAGACTAGTTACACAACTGTAGGAAGGAAAACGCTTCTAAAAAAAATAAATCAGGCCACATTTATAAAGATACCTAAATATAGAATACAGAGCCTTACTATGAAGGGAATGCACATTTCAGAACAGACACCTATACACATCAACTCAAAACACCGTCCAGCAGTTGAACTAGTTTTGGTTTTTTTTTAATGACGTATGGCAGACTGTCTCGAAACAAAAGAGCTGCCTGAACTGAGAAGCAGCTGTAAGTGGTAATTTCTCTAGCAGCAAAAACCAAGTTAGAGGGCAAAAACTGAGAGACTACAAAATGTTCCGTTGTGCTTTCAAATCAAACCAGACAAAAGAAAAATAGATTTAGAACAATGTTACGCACTGTAGGTAAGTGAATTGAAATTGAACTCACCAATAAGCCCCTTTGTAGTACTTGATGTTACTGGTATGTGAGCAGGCACGGGAGCTGGCTTTGCCTCCTCTGCTGGTATGGATGTTACGCAGCTGGTTTCAGCTTCAATAGAAACATCCTTCCCACCCCTTCGCTTTATGGTACCTGTGTCACCTTCTGAGTCCTCTCCCCAGTAGCCCGTTGAGGATGCCCAGCTTGCTCTGGACTGCGCTTGCTCGAGGCCCTCCCTGCCTTGACTTTGCCGGCCATACTTTGTGCCATGATCGGAGAACATCAGCTGGTCCACGTGACTGCCTGAGGCCCACAGTCCTGCCCCATCGCCCGAGTTATCAAAATGAACGTGTCCAAAAGGCAGCGTCTCCCAGCTTCTCTGGTGCTGTATCGTTTGTATGTTGTCATGGGAACCACTTGAGCAAGAAGTCCAGCTACCGCGGCCACTGTCAGCTGCATCGAGTGAAGCTCTGTCCCCCTGATCCTGTGACAGTTCTTCCGTGCTAGGAGAAGACAGAACAGTAGCTCCAGCGTACAGGCCTCTGTTCTCTGACAGCGGTGCATAAGATCTAGATGCACATTGAAGAGGGGGAAAAAAACATCCAGCGTTGAAAGCAGAGATCCTTTACAAAGCACACAAAGAACTAAGCAATCAAAAAAATGAGCACATTGAAAGTTTTGATGCAATTTACGCTGTACTTGCTCAAAAGACTAATCTGATTTTGAGCACAGAACACTTTCCTTTTAAGCTCATCCTTAACAGAGCCAATAGGAATAATCACTGGGCAGCTCTCTTGATGTAACTAACACTCTAGTGGAGTCACCTCAGAATGTAAAATCTTCACTTTGCAGCAGTCCTTTAAGACAGGCAAACACCACTGAGATACACAGAATAACAGGGAGCAGACTAAGAGATAGTTCCCTACCACTTTTCCAGACAAGCAGTGCAAATAACCCAAAGTTAGAAACTGAGGTTTATCAGGAAGTGACTGAAGCTCAGCTTTAAGGCTTCTGCTCATTCACAACACTGAATGACAACTTATCAGTATTTCCTGCAAAGGAAATTGACTTCAAAGTTACTTCTGGAAAAACATACTCCTTAATAGAGCAAGTACATTCTCTGTAGCCTTCCAGTGGCTGATCGAGTCTGACAGTATCACTTACATAGCAGCAGGGAAAACTGACCAAGTGTCAGCTTGGTTCAGCAACTATCAGGACTGCTGCGAGTTATGGTTTGAGGGCAGCTTGCTACGCAGATTGGGACCCTCATCTGATTTTATACATCCTATCAAAGAGCTTGCACAGCCTGGGATTCCCAGAGCTGAAGCACACCACTTTCAGAACAGGCCTGTCATCCACAGACCCTACAGGACTCAAAACCAGAGAACTAAAGTTTCCAAATAATAGCTCAGAAAAGCAACTGGTTCTCAGGCTCACTGACAGAGATTCAGAGAACTCCTTGCAGCACTAGCTTACCCACCTTTAGAGAAGTTAATTACCTAGAAAATTACTTAGAGAGCCAACAGCCAAACATGAATTTTAGCTTCCAATTATTGTTGACTAGGAGAGAGATTTGGGGTAAAATATTTCTCAGTTAGATAAAATTGCACTTTTCTGGAAAAACAGACTGGAAAATTACTAGCTATTTCTGCTCACAGTGCCATTCCCGAATAACTGCATCAACCATTTGTCATCTAACTCAGTTAATTCCCCATCTTAAAAATTGTCAGAATACTCATCTGCTACAGAGGGGAGTCTACAGAAACACTAAGTGCTCAGATAAGTCTACTGGAAGGAAGGTCTTACTGCCATAGACCTAAAAAACATGCGTGAAGTGAAAAGAAAACAGAAACAGAAGATGACCACAAAATTCAGTAGCGAAATAGTGGAATTTAAGGGCAGAGGAGAAAAGGAGAATTTGAGAGAGATAGGAACAAGGAAAGTTATACAAACAAATTTGTGTGTCACAGTGCCACACACTGTATGAAAGTATAATTTAAGTGAGAATAAAATTCCTACCCTAAGCTGTATTGATCTGGCTCAATCACGATCCTTCTATCAATTCTTCCCACGCCAAGGTTAGTCTCCACAATGCTGACAGAATGCCTCTGTCTCCTCTCATCATGCAGGGACGCTGGCATAGAGTCAAAAGAGGAATTGCTGACAATACTAGACCTGGAAGAAATTTCGCTGTGGCCAGAGTCTGAAAAGTTATCCACTGTGCCACTGGGAGCCAAAGTGTAACCTGCAAAGGGAAACATCACTTCAATCAGTCTCGTACAGGCCCACTCAGCTGGCAAGTTCCACTGCTGCAACTGTAGTAAATCAAAAGTATGATATGTTTTACACACAGAAAAAGCACTGAGAAAAAGAAAAAGCAGCATAGCTTTATGAATTCTGTATGCCTTATTTCTTGAAAAGCAGTTTATGATTGTAGGGAATGTGAAACACGCAATTAGAAACCAGCCACTCACCTTCCTTCCCTTCTCCCTTCCTCCCTGAGATTATTTTCAAATGCATTTTATTTGTGTTCCTACATCATGAAATCTCACTTTTCATGAAAACAAACAAACAAACAAACAACAGCCTATACATAAACACTGCCACCAGGTTTGGAACAGAACAAGTACACTAGACAAGATTACTGCTCAAAAGTAATCCATAAGACTCTCTCATACAGTTTTTGTGCTCCGCAACACAACCCTTCAGAGGTGAACAACATATGCAACGTGAAGCACATATGTCTGGACTCACTGTTTATTACATATCTTGGTGAATAAAAGGCCTATAATGCTTTTTAATTAAATTTAAAAAAATAATCAAGGTTTTCAAGCCTTCTTTGTGGTACTTGGCTAACTAATTACATTCCAAAAGACAGTATTTGTGAACTATGAGAATTACACCATCATTTGGAGGTAGCACTGACACTGCCAGACCTGCAAACAATAAGTCACAGAGGTAAATTCAGCTTTTGTTTCAACACTGACAAAAATGCTCTTACAAGCTAGGTTGAAGGTCATTAAACAACACACACCTACAATTGTTTTGCTTTCTATCTATATTAAGTGTCAACATGACTTGAATGATCTGTCTCCATTCACACTTGCTGAGAATGTGGAATTAACACCGTCAGACTTTCTGAAAGTACCTATCATTAGCTCAGTGTCACCACCAAGATCTTAAATTTTAAAATTTAAAAGCATCTTTATGATTTGCTTTTCAAACAGTAAAATACCTTTTAGTCGCAGCTCTGACCAAAATTACCTAAATTCACTTTTTGCTACTACAGCATTTGGGAGAAATCGGGCTGAGATCTTACGAGGGCTCAAGATGATAACCTAAGTCTTCTTCACACAGCATTCTCCTCAATCTTAATATAGATCACTTCAATAGAGATTCTGGATAGGCTTTTGTACTTTTATGCTATATTTATCTCTCCTCTTTTCAGATCCCAGCTTACCCAGTTGGACTTATTTTTCTCCCTTTGGTTTCCATTAATTCCATCTATCCCAGAGGTCTATAGCAAATTGATATTCTTGCTACTGCTCTCAATTCCAAAAAGAGAGAAGGATCTGGATGGATCCATTAGTTTGGAGCCACAGGGTCTCAGTTACAGAGTACTGCCACCCACCAGGTTAAGGAAAGGGTTTAGCTATCCACTTGATGAGAAAGTAGAAAGATTGACACCTGCCTGTTTGAAAACCTTATGATCTCCGTCCGATTTGGGGAAAGTTACTTCTACAGCAAAGCCTTCAACACATGCATCGCTATGGCATTTTATTACAGGAACTCAACCTCAATATGTGCATTTTAAATTCATTTTAAATGTAACCAAAATCTTTTAAAAATTAACACCACCAAGGAAGTTCCAATGTGCAATACCATTCCTCAAATATCCATGTTTGAGTAATTAATTATGCTTCTATTAAAATGATCGTTAGTGATTTGTATCCCAACCATCTTAAGCTTGCCTGTCATACATAGGTCATTTCCCACCCAGCCGGGTGACAGAGCAAATAATTCCTTTAATAGGTTAATGAGCTTAATGAAGTTTAAAATCTTGTACAGCAATCTGCACGTACTGCCACTGGCAGAAGATGCTCTGATGGGAATATTTTTGTCAGAAGCAGCTGTAATGAGAGTGACCTAATGCATCACAACCCGTACCAGTTCAGGCTTCCTTGCCTACTACTATCGAGCAGGGCCTTCAGCTGTCCCACTTGAGCACCACCTCCTGCTCTCTTGCTGACCATAGGTGCCTGACACAGGAGCAGTAATTTATTCTGAATGTACAGATTCTCTTTCAGAAACTTCCAAAGCCTACGACCTTCAGGAAACAGAATGAGAAATGTTCTGCATCTAGTACCTTTCCTGGGAGAACTCTGTGGTGAGGTGGGAGGAGAAGACAGATGTGAAGATGCACTTGATACTGCGTCTTCAGATTGTTTCTTGTGGCGGTCCAGGCTTCCTTCTTCAGACAATGAAAGAATTTTCTTTAAAGCTTGTGGGGAGTTAATGCCTTTAAGTAAGAATGAACGCAGGCAGATGTAAAGTTTAATATAAATACATCTTCCTATTTCACAGTGCATTTATGGAGGGAACACCATCTAAGAAAAAACACTTTTCTCTTTAATTTGCGAGTTTCTAACAGTGGCTCAAATGAAGTAAAATTTTAATCCTACAGTTCGAAACATAGTGCTGTATTTCTGTAACTCAGTTAAACCAGTCTTTCATTTTTGCCACCGAAAATAAATATTTTGCTGCAGAAAATCTAATCCAGAGGTGGTGCTTTGCAGTACTGCCCGCACAACATACAAATCAGGAATAAGCACAGCTGTGGTCTCTGGCAAAAGAACTGAAACGATGAGAACACACAATGCTCAATGCTCAGTTAAGGTTTACATTGTGAGAAGTGAAACAGCTCCGTTTCTTTTCCAAACACAGAGCAGTCCAGAAGGGCAAAAGAAGCTAGACAGATTAAGAAGATTGGCTTACAAAATAAGGCCATCCTGCAGTTGCCTTTCTCCCTTTAGAGAATTATTTCTGCACCGGTTTATTTTGGGAAACCAAAGAATAACAACATCTTTAAGATGATGTATGATATAAAGATCTAGGGCACAAAGAATTGCTTTTCTGAGGCAACATTTATCTTTGTCTTTTTCCACCCTCTCCTCCCCTCAAAAAATACATCCTGGCATACACTTAAAAGCAAAAACGGAGCTTCTCTGGCAGTTTTGTATATTCCTGTTTGGTGGTAGAGGACATTTTCAAACCTTCTACAGACTCTTCCTTTGATCTGCTGGATCACAACGCTGCTATCAATAATTCACAGCTCCTTCATCAACATAACCCAGTCAACTTTTCAGAAACTTTCCCACCATGAGGAAAAATACCATCTATGTAGCTTCAAAATGCTTTTAATATTAAAATTTAATGGTAAAATTAAGAAGGAGATGAAGACTGAGTTGTTTCTTGCCCATTTTGCCGCTTTTAATTCTTCTCTAGCAGTCTAAGCTGTGCACAAATAAACTAATAAAAAGTGAGAGATGACTTTAGCTCTTAAGCAGATCTTAAAAGTTCACTTTACCTACATATATAGGAACATACATTTGGAAGACAAATTGGAAGTAATTCCTATACCCCTTCATCTTTCAGCATGACACGCAGGCAGCAGCACCAGCTTAACAGTACAAAGCACTAGGGATCCGAATCCAGGGACCCAATTCTCTAATTGGAACGTAGGCCCACGTTTGTAAGGATGAGCACACCACTTTTGTAATTAGTCTGGCACAACTGAATTTCTTACGATATGTTCAACTTTAAAAAGAGAACAAAACAAAACAAACAAAAAACAAAGTAGAAGAGCCATATGAACTTCTGAGGCACTTCAGGTCACTGAAAAACCTGACGTTTGTTAATCCACTTGGAAAAGCCAAGGTGTTAGTGCAGATAGCCAGAAAAATCCATTATTTCCACCTGTTATTAAGAGGTAAATAATTACACTGATTAAATTGACAAGGATGCTTTCCTGGCAGATTTCTTTCTTCCCATTTCTAGAGAAGATACTTTTACACATATGCTGCATGAAACTGCATAATTTTCCTATAATGCTGCCATAAATTGAAGTCTCCATCTTATTTGATTAAAGTACTTCCCTGACACGAGCAAAGAAACCTCAGAGTACTCCACTGAATGCTTCTTTGTTTGACTTACCAAATGGTGGGAGGTCTTTGACGGGCACTTTCTTGCGAGAGGGATAAAGAGATACAGCAGGGACCTGCAGAGCTTGGTTTGCTTTGTGTTGCTGCTGCTGCTGCTGCACTTTTTGCTGAATTCCTGCCCGGGGAGCCACTGGTGACGTTTCGGATTTTCCAGATCGTTTGTCTCCTGTATTCTTTGGCACTTTGCAAGAAATGGGAGAAAGCAAAGATTGACTATCAACCACAAATACAGTGGGAGTTCTAAGCTGAGAAGTGCCAAGCCCTCCAATTCAGAGTTAAAAAAAGTGATGAAATACTGAAACTACAAATGCAGGAGGACACATCTAGAGCTAAACAGAGAGGAGGAAAAGGAGATTTAATTTCATTTAAAATCCGTAGATCATCAAAGAACCTTTTCTCTTTCTCAAAATAAAACTCTCATCAATTGACTATTGTTATAGTTCTTAGAACGTGACCAGAAGTACACTGAGCTATGATAAGGACTACAGTTGGTTTAGGGCAGATATAATTGATACAATACAACCCTAATATCATAATTAGCATTTTTCGCCATCCTGAAGGAAGGGAAAAGCATAAGATACAGCATTCTCTAATTAAAGTGTGACAGATTTCCAGTTCTGCTTTCCCCACCGTGCCTTTGAAATACCTGGACATGATGGAATTCCTTTTTCTCTCTCAAGATGAGGTCGCCTGGGACGACTAGCCCTATTCATACCAACACCCTGAGCACATCAGAACTGTAGAGGATCTTTTGGTCTCTCTGGATCCTTCACACAGACAAATCAAAAGAACTCTTGTGCACTTCAGCATTACGCCATCCGAAAAGCCTACATAAATTTCTATGCTGTTAACCTCTAAGATGACTCCCTTAAGATTCAGAGATGCCCAGTACTTGCTCACTGTGAGTTATATAATTTCCTGCCTCATTTTCTAGTTGCCATTCCAAATAATTCCTTGCATTAGGAAGAAATACATTTAACAGCCTCCTTACAACCCACAGCAAATGGTAACGCTCACATGTGTTGGTGGCTGGCTCACACTGTAGAGACAGCGTCTGGAGGCTTTCTTCATCCATTTCCAGATCCAAGTTTGAGAGATACTGCTTCACTTTCCGTGCCATCTGAGCATCTTCATAGAGCTTTTTAGCATTAAGGAAGGAGCTGCGACGGACCCTCTTTTTATGACCCCCTGCTTGTGCGACATCAAGCACAGCTGCATTTGTACTGCCCTGGCTGAGAGACCTGGAGTGAACGAAGGGGGACAAGAAGGGGAAAGGATGAGTTAGTCTGACACGGAATCGCTTAACAAGCATGAAACGTGCAAAAGATTGCATGAATGTCAGTCTATGGTCAAAGCTCACATGCCTCATTCCAGTAAGTCAAACAGCTATAACAGATAGAAGGATGAGGATCAGGAAAATCTTTTTACTTGGTTACAGGCACTACTTTGATTACATAAATATTTTAACCTGTTCTGCTCCAACTAGGCAGTATCACTTCACACATCAAGAAAAGCATTCAAGCTAGCTCTCTCACATAAGCCAGCTATTGAGAAGACTGGGCATTAGGAAAAGCTCATGCAATAAGGCAATGCTGACAGAAGACTATAGCTGAAGTTTATATTTCAAGACATGTAACAGAAGGCATTTTTTAAAAGTATCTTGGGAGCTTTCAGTCTGACCATATACAGAATGTATAACACAGCTTTAAGGAATAAAACTCACTTGTAACTTCCTAGGTCGAAAAGAGCTTTTTCTTAAAAATGATTTGCCTGTTCATGCTGACATAAAAGTCATGCAGATTTTAATGTATGTACATCAACATAAAAGCTATGCATTTTTCCTGAATTGATAAGAATAAAAGTTACGGTTGAATTGTAGTGGGAAAAAAGTTTAGCAGGTTCTGGAGTTATAACGTTTCTATTTCACTTAGTAACATGGTAATCAGCCTTAAGAAAGTTAACACCAATTTTTAGCAGTTGCTAACTTCCCACTTCACAGTTTCCCTTTTACTTAAAGTCACTTTTTTGGCAACAGATATTGGAGGTGGTGGGAATAACACACCACTGCTATTTATGATCACTTGAGTATTTTACAGCTTTTGTGTATTAACCTCAAAAGAACTCCTGATCTAAAACACATTGTCAGTTAAAACAAAACAAAACAGGGTTAACAAAAGAAAGTATCAAAAGCAGCAGAAAATTAAGGATGGCAAGTAGGAAGTAATGCAAATGGCAAGGGAAGAATGAATGGCTGTGTGCATTGTCTACCACTTACCCCAAACTCCTCCATTTCTTCTTCCTGCAAGTGAGAGCCAGGAAGAGTAAAGCATGGGTTTAAGAAGAGACAGAAAGATCACAAGCTCAGAAAGAAAAAGACCAGATCTAAGGACAAGCAGTTTCTAGAAGCCCACAAACACTAAAAAGATTCAGCTACACAGTCAGATATTACAAACTCTTCTAAGTTCAAATTAAGAAAAATTATATGCAATAAGCTGGTTTAACATGAAGGCAAAGTCCATTCACTCCACATTTTTAATGACTCTAGCTTACACTGTTTCAAATACAATCCCATTTGTTAAATCAAAATGATAAAGGTCTCACACATTGACATTTCAAGCAAACTAACACATCTCCCCCACCCTTCACCTGATGCAATCTTTTTTTTTTTTAAATAAAATAACCAGCAGCTAAGAAACAATATAAACATCCATATGTGTGTGTGTGTCTGTGTGTGTTTGTGTGCAAAATCACAGAATTTAATGATTTCTCCTGTTTCAGAACTTCCTTGGATGTATGCAATACGCAGTTTGGGTTAATTGTTAACAACAAAAAAACCCTCCATACTGCTCCACTGCATCAAAGGGGCTCAGAAGAGTTAGACATCAGCCCTGAAAATCAGTAACATTTCCTGTTCATACAGAGCTCGCTGAACAACTGCCAAGGACCTGCTGACAGGAAGAAAAACATATCCTTTACGCTCCAAGCGCACGGAGAGGCAAGTGAAAAGCACCTCTTGCTGATACTTAGCCTCCAAACTGGTAAAAGCTCTGCCTTCCACAACAAGCTTACCTAGTTCTAAACATTAAAGCAGGATCCATGTTGACAGATGCCATGCGACCAACGTGGCGAATTTCCTTCGCGATCATCCTCAGCTTCTCAAAGTTGACTAAGCCTTCCACTTTGGAATCGTTTCCTAAAACCAACCATAATTAACATCACCAGTGACCGGGTGCCAAAGTGAGTTTTTCTTAGCTGGTAAGAGATGAAGCACTTATGTTTTTACCTTCGTGAAGGAACGTAAGGTCTTTTTTGATAACAGGAAACAGGGGAATAATAGGGGGCTGCAGATTTTGGCTGTTAAGGACATTACGGTATTTTGCCATGTTCCTAGATGGATCAAACAAGTCCTGTAGATCTTGGAACAGTTTTTCATACTTGCTTGGAAGCTTTTCCCAAGTAGTTCGGAGCCTTGCAACCGGTGCCAAATTCAGGCCACTTGAAACAAACAAAAAAGTGCAAGAAGTTAAAGAACAATAGGAAAAAGAAAAAAAAAAGCCAGGCTCAACTTTTAGGGAAAAATATCTCTTAACCAGAATAGCATAGCACAACACCAATTAAACCACAAAACTGAAAACTTCCTTTCCCAGTGTGCATTGCAGAAAAGTTAATAATGTCACGAGTAGCTAAACATTTTAGAGCATATGTATTTATTCTTACTACTTTGGAACAGCTTCTGCACTGGATAACAATGTTGTATATTATAGGTCAGTATCAATTATTTCCAGATCCCCAGAAACGTCACCTACATAACGTTTAGGTGATGACAGCACAGGGACCCACCTTCTTGCTGCAGTAATCCACCTGACTTGACTGCATCTAGCTCAAATTTTGCTATGAAAGACTCCATCTATTTGAGGCTATTCTAAAGCTGTAGATGGTACAAAAAACGATTTTCTTCTCCTTAACAATCTCATTGAAGACAGTACCTTATGCAGCGGCCAGCACGTCTTGTTTATAATTTCTAACTCTTGAAAAATTTGGTATAGTAGCATTTCTAATAGTATTTCAGCAAAAATTACAGTTTCAAATTCAAATTACAGGAAAACACCTTCCTTATTGGATTATCAAGTGCCACTGCTAGCACTATGAATTTAATGCATTTTTTTAAACAGAGATAGGTAAGGCTTTTCTTCTTACTTAAAATAGAATTTGACATTCAATACCTAATGATAGCAAACATCGAGTTGAAATTCTTGCATTCTCTGCAGTGTAGTGCTATCTTAATGAAATGCTTGATGATTTTCATCCTTTTCAACTGGTTGGTTTCTCTTAGAATCTCCGAAGCTACCCAGAATGTTTCTTGATTTATCACTTCTTCAAACTTCTTTAGATTAGTGCAGCCTGTTTTTGATTTGAGTTTAAACAAGTCATCTATGTATTCTGTGGGTTCAATGTTACGGAATAGCTCAAAGTTCCTCATGGAGAGCTGGGTGGCCACCTCAACGGTACTGAGCTGCAGCAGGGAAATTTGACTCTCTCTTAATAACTCTTGAGCATCTTCATCTGAACAAAGAGTTTCCGTTTCCATGTTGTTCTTCAGGTAATATCTGTAAGAACAAAATTCCAAAACAGACTTGATGCAGTATACTCAAATACTAGTGAAAATTAACATCTAGCTGTAATCATAGAATGAATTGAATTTGAACACGCTTTGATATTAATTAGAAATTAGAGGTGATTTCTTGTAAAGAAACAGAACGATAGTAATTAAACAATGCTTCTATTAACAGGATTCTTACTTAACAAACTAGCATAGTCAGCTCTAGCTTAAGTCTCTAATCTCACCTGCCACTTAGCTGTATCCTGTCAGCAAGCTTGGATAACTGATCAGGAAGCCTCCTTTGTTTGATTACACCCTCAGGTGTGACAGAGACTTCACACAGTGAATACGCATCAGGGGTAGCAGTAAGAGCAAATTCCCTGATGGCCTGGATGACCACTTCTTTTGCAGTTGTGTCCTTACTGATCATGATGTAGCGACTTTGCTGGTCCGCCTTGAAAACCCTCAGAACTTGATCTGGTAAGTCTGAAAACAAGTTGCATGCAAGAAGTACAATTTAGTAATGAGAGAAAAATAAAAAGAGCATAAGAACGAGCAACAATATCAGTCACATCGAATCAAACCCCTAATGCTATTTCTCTTTATTTCAGTATCACTGTTATCTCCCATTCCCACGGAACAAGAATGCTGTTTATTTTTTATTCTAGTTGTTTTGTTTTTAAATGAAAGACTAGTTCTGCCAACATTCAGAAAAACATAGCTATCAAAGGGGAAAGCTATGCAAACACTTCCCATGTATGGACAGACGAGCTAATAGGATTTTCACAGGTGTTGAGCGCTGGTAAATCCCATTTAAGTCTGGGAGTAGCTAGAAATGCACATACAATAGCCAGCTGTATGCACAAATAGACTGCTGTGGTGTTAATGCATCCAAGTTCTTAACTACCAATAAGACTCTATCCCTGATAAATTTAACTCACTGTATCAAATGTGTAAATGATTGAAAATGTCATCACTACAATGTCGTCACAGGGTGTAAGACTTAAACAGTCAAAGAAAGAAAGCTTTTCTAAGCATTTAGGGTTCATATATTCGATTCAATTCACGTTTCAATTCATGACAATTCCTGAACTGAATGTGTACAAGAAAGCTGCTTTTAGGAAACCTGGAGAATTATCATCCTAATTCCAAGGCTGCATTTGGTATTTCTACCATCTTATTAACAGTTTGAAATCTAGACCCATTAATCAACTGGTTAGATTGTTGTAATTGTATTATAAAAAGAAAACAAAGAACTAAAATTGTACTTCTGTCCAGCATTATTATTATTATTATTTTTAGCTTTTAAGTGACAAGATAAAGTACTTTCAATGAATTTAATTTTTTGTCTTTATTACACATAACCTTTTCTAGTATTGTACAGTATGATATCTGGTCATCTTTATCTGATTAGAACTTTTTTTTTTTTTTTTTTGAAAGATTATAAAGGTCATATGAACAAGATAATAGAAAGTAACAGAAAGTCTTCTGAATGTACAACCAGAAGTGATCATTATCTTAAAGACACTGGAAAAAATGACATACTGAAAAAAAGAAACACGCATGTTGAGAAAACAAAGGCCTTATTCGACGACTTATGGAAGAAGAGACCTGAAAGTGCATAATACCTATTCAAGGTACTGTATAAAACTTATATCAAGCAACAGAAATCTTGTGAGAAAAGAACAAAAATTAATGTCTTCCCACTACTGCTCCATTTCTCTAAGATCATTTGAAAGCAGCAAGGTAAATCCTTCTGATATGAATGGACATACGTGCTAAAAAGGCTGTTGAGACATAAATGAAACCAACTCCATAACTGTCAAGCTCATGGTAATATTTTCTTGCATCCTGAGGAGCAATAACACTCAAGCACATTATGGTTAATAACATTATTATTATTTACCCAAAATGCATTAACAGTGTAGGCCAATTTTAAGCCATTCCCAAGTACCTGAGTTAAATTTATGAATACCTTTGACAACCAGCAAGTCAATTTTGCCCATCACCACCAACTCATTGACCCATCTGTCTTCAGTAATTAGTTGAAAAGGGACCCAGAGCAGGGCCTGAAGACATTTCAACATACTTTGACACTGTAGGGAAGGCAGATGCCAAAGACACAACCATTCAGAGGAATTACTAAGAATCAGAATGCTCTGTAGATCCTGTTGTGTCTTGCTGTTACAGAAATCCTTGCCACTCAAAGAACTGTTACGAAGATGGGAAGCTCTTGCACACAATTGGAGGAACTCACTTAATACTCAAAAGAAACAAGTGTTTTGCACGAGGAGAAACCCTGCTCTGCTAAAGCAGTGAAGTTAATATGAATTATGAAGTATGCATACCTATCAGAGCTGGTAGCAAAGCACTAAGCAGCATACAGAGAAATCTACTACCAATCAAAACCATTACAAATGCAGCAGTATTAACATGTAATTCAGCACATGAGTTTTTAAGTAAAACAGACCTTGAAAAGAACTGTAATTATCCCCTTCACTCCTTTTTAAAAAGGAAACTGGAGTGGCAGACAGAAGAAAGCAATGCTTTATGGTAGCAGTCTAGTCCCACAGAAGACTTGGGGAAGAGTACCAGTGACTGATAGGCCATCGTTACTATATTATTTTGGTTCCAATCGAAGACAGCACAAGAGAAGGGAAGTCAAAGTATTATTGACTATATGCATGTTCAAAAATAAACCTTTGCAAGTACGTATTTGAAAACGTCTGTGCGACTGAGAAGAAAAACTAAAATGACTCTGTGCAGTTTTTAAGCTATTTCAAGGAATTAGGTCCTCGTTTCTTCCCCAAAGACCACCCTTTCAACATGAGCTGTTTTATTTTTTTGCCCTGAGAAATATCCCTTAAAGCCTCAAAGGATGGCCGCTCTACTACTATGCATTCAATTTCCTGCAAGCTGCCTCCATCTCCATCTTTAATATAGCCTAAGGTAATAAAAGAAATTAAAGCTGTAGGCTTTAATTGTTTCCCTGTCTTAAAGCATATAGTGGCATAACTCAACTTTTATCTCCAGCACAACCGCCTCTGAGGCCCTTAAGGTACATGCTTTTGATTTCAGACCTCCCATTCCCCTATCGCAGAATGGCCAGGGTTGGAAGGGACCTCAAGCATCACGAATCTCCATCCCCCTACTTCTCACTGAAGGAAAAAAAAAAAGTCAGAGCTGCAAAGCAATTTGAAAATATTCAGTAGGTGGGCATTTGATTAAGTTTTCAGCAAAAATAAATAAAATAAAATGAGATGGGATTTGCTTGAGATCTGAGACAGCACTCCCCACAGTTCTGGAAGTGAGCCACTTGCTGTTCTTGGCACATGCTGGAAATTTCCCACTCTAGCAAAGTAGCAAGCTGGAGAATGGATTTTTCACACACGTAACATCTACAGCCACGGCACTGATTAAAGAGTTATAGGCTCTTATTGATACAATATCTTCAAAGTATTGGACATAAATTGTTAGATTAAAAAATAAAGTAATCTTCCCACTCTCTAAGAAGCAATCTTTGGCACTGGGACAAAAATAACACCAAAAACATCAACAGCAAAAAAAAATTTTTTTTAAATCACTACCACACAAAAGTTTCTTGTATCCTTCTCTCATCGTGTCCCCCCTCCTCCCATTATATAAATGATGCTCAGCATCACAGTTTCAAGAGTGAAAAAATTGCACAAACTTCGACAGTCTGTAGACTGACATTCAAGCAATGTCCTTTTAGGCAAGGTCTGAAATCCCTTGGACTTAGAGGGCACTCAATTTTTGGTTCTATTTTTGAGAAAAACACTAAAAATAACTCAGTATCCACACAGCTACCACCAGCACATCATCCTTCAGAAGATACATTTTAACAATAAAGAATCATATACCTAATGCAGAGAAAGATTCACTTTAAGAACTTTTTCTGAAGCCAGATAAGAGCCCAAATCCCAACTCTCCAGGAGTTCCAGCTAAGCCCTTCTCACATGATAAGGCTCTCAAGGTTGTCATATTCTCTCCCTTTCTCACCCTCACTTCCCCCTCATAGTTTGTTCCTCTCTACTAAATATGTGTTGGCTTGATAATTTTGTTCGATGGGGGATTTTTAAATTATTACTGAGAAAGGATTTCAAATCACTATATACAAAGCATTCAGAACTCAGCTGTAGACACTTCCGTGGGGCAGGATGATTAACAGGCAACCCAGAAACTCTATGCCTTACAAGATTATATAAGAAGTGTGTTCAGAAAAACACCACACAGTGTGCCCAAGCTCAATGCCTTTCTGCTTGATTGTAAGCTTGCAATCTCCCATGCTGTTTGAAAATACTGCAGTCTTATAAAGACTGATCTACCACAGCAGATTATGAAGCACCACGCACAAGTTTTCACTAGCCAGGAGTATTGAGTCAGGAAGAGATGCTCTGTATGCAACATACTTCCAAAACATTCACTTATACACAACTGGGCAAAGTGGAGAAATATAGCAAGCATTCAAAAGTGGCTAATCAGGATGACGGTGTATAGTACAGCTAATAGAAACCTCTCGTGTACTTCAGACTCTGAAGCCCAGAAAAAAACAATAACAAATTAAAAATAATCAAAGAAACAAAATTATACAGTAGAGAACAAAAAAGGATCCTTACCTGGAGTTGTATTGAAGTCCAAGATGCGGTGATGAGACTGCAGTAGATCAGGATTACTGGATGACAGGGTTCCACTGACAGGTAACGCAGGAGGAATGTGCTTTGTTTGCCTCAGTCCTACAATGCTGTCGTCCTGAGACTGACCAATTCCAATGTCACTGCATCCAGAAAGAAACAAATGTTCAGAGCTTGGACTATAACAGAGGGATGCGAGGGTATCTGTAATACTACATTATCCAGACTCTCAGGAATTACTATTTATGAATCAATATTCTCCAGAAGACAGGGATTGCTGTCTAGGTTTGTCAACAGCACCCAAACGTCCAATTGCCTCCATCAGATCAGCTTTTTCGTGCTGACAGAAGATTCCCATGCTTACCACTCAGCTCTGAGGAGCTGCAACTCTTGCCTTTCTTTAATGATTTTTTCATAGAGGCCAAGATCTCTGAAATGCTGGGTCTCAAAGGTCAGCAGTGTTAGAGATGGATCAGGGACAGAATAATCATACTACATGCTTACTGCATGTTGAGTTGAGAAGCTAGGCACTGAACTTTTCTATAAACACATAGCTGCGCATCCTTAGTAAAATATTGTGTGTGTAAAATGTTGAAATGCAGATGCTATAGAGATTGAAAATGATTTAAAACTCAGCCATTATAGGAAAAGACTTTTAAAAAGATTTAACACAACTAAATCTGTATCTACACACGTAAATAAAGCATAAATCAGAACTTCAATTTCATTGCAAAATGATGCCACTCAATGCCAAGCTACTAAATTAGATGACAGAACACAAATGGCCTTTTGTACCCCAACCTAGGGGCCCTCTGGTTTTTGTCTAGTTTTCTATCCATCCTCTGAAAGCCCACACAGAAGGGCCTGATAATTATCCCTGTAGAGCTGTTACAGCATAAGCATCCTTTTGTGAGCACAGGAGGATCACTTTGCCCAGTACGCTCTTGTAACACTTCTTTAAGTGCTATGAAGAGGGAAAGCATTCTGGGGAGCAAGGACGATATCTGCACCATGTGAATTACACACAGTCACTGCTTTGCAGAAGGCAACGTCACTTGAAAGCATCTGTGTATGTTTTTTGCTATTTTGAGGTGAGTTTTTGTTTGTCCTTTAAAAAGCAAGGCAGCCCAGCGTTACAAAAATACTTTACGAAGTGTCATGAGAGAAAAATACTCAAAACCAAAAAGGAGTTGCTGGATTCCCTCCACCGTAAGATAAGCTGAATCTGAACATCTGTATTTCTGTACTGCCACATAAAGCACAAAATGCTGTGACAAGCAGTGATCTATACAGCACAACACCCTTACGCCAAGCCACAAAACAACTTTGCTAGTACTAAAAAGCATTCCCAGCAATCGAAGCTTGCTCTTTCAAGTAGGAGCCACTCTCTACACACAAAAAAGCACACAAACAAACAAACAAACAAGACGCACAAAATGCTTTCTGGCAATTATAGAAACTATGCAATGTAGTTCATAGAAGTGCTAACACTAGCTTTTCTCTAAATTCAGTCAAAGGAAGACAATGTGCCCTCCTCCCCCCCCTTACATTAAGTAGATTCAGTTACATCACATATTCCTTTTTGGGTCTGTCAGTGTTATATAAGCTTTTCATGTTTTACTGCACCAATCCTGTGCGTCATAACCGAAGTAGCTTCGCTAATGTGGATCAACTGACAAACATCAGGCTTTAAAAAAATCAGAGAAATGTTCCTAAACTTCTTCCATCTTCCTCCTAAGCGTTCATATACTAAACTGGAAAGAAGCTACTCCAGTTGACTCTATTTTTAAAACAAAGAACACTCCCCCAGTTCCGATTTCAAGTTACACAAACAAGAAATGAACCTCAGAAATTTCAGATATAAATAACAGCACCAGAGGATTCCCAGGTCCCACGAAGACCAACTGCTCTTATCACTAGGCAAAATATTTCATTTTCTGGGTGAAAGGAAATCGTGCTTTTAAAGGAAAGCATTTATGTTATTTTCTGTAATGCTTGCTGTGCAAGGATAGCATTAACTGATAAATGACTTCCCTGCTGAATGTCAAATGTGATAGAATGGGTAGAGGAATGGCAGAAGTGTCCAAATGCTTCTTGCTTCAGTGTAGCATGCTGATTATCCCACCAAAGGACTGCAAATAGAGAAGGGGGGGGGGCGTCCTCCTAATATGGGGTGCTGCACTAGGGAGCAAGCATAGCTCTGTCAGAGCTGGAAGGGTGACGGTACTTAGTTCTTATTTGAAGGAAAATCACTGCTGGATGACAAGTGGTGTCAAGTGCTGCAACCAAGGTGCTTGAGTAGTGCCTACGAGAAGGAGGTTTCCTAGTAGCCACAGAGGAAATGGAACTGTTTGCTCAACTTGGGAAGTTACTCAGCGTTATCGGAATGAAAAGCAAGACTGAAGGAATGTACTATCTCCTGATCAGAGTGATTTGTCTTTGATACTGGCTTGACATCTCACAAAACTGATAAGTTACCTCAGTTAAGACTGGTTTCATTAGGCTACATATGGAAAACACACGCTGTGTTCACTTTCAAGACAAGGTAGATATCTTCACCTCATAAGCTGGCGAACTGAGTCATCAAGTCTTTAAATACCTACTCTAAAATAAGTAAATCAGCTTTTTCATCCTCTTTACTGCTGCTTTTAAAAACTCATGAGAATAAGTAAAGTCCCCTCCTATACGCAACACCAGACAATCAGGAAGAACAAGATAGAAGTTTCTACATAACGTGAAGAAAAGAACACAAACAAGCAAATCTACAGCTACACATCTCTATGTAGAACCGTGCAGGCAAACAGCAACCGACAGGCAAAATGTCAAGAGGCTTTGTAGATAAATTGCTATATATAACACATGAAGTAAGGCTAGCAAAAGGAAAACAAAATAGGTCAAGTGGACTGGTGTTTTTTGTTTTTTTTTTTTGTCTCTTACCCAAAGACATCCCTGAAACAGAAAACATGCACAAACAAAACAAAACAAAGTGAAAACCAACAAGAGAATTTTATGTCAAAGCTACGAATCACGAGCAGGGCAAAAATCACATCAACAATATGCATGGCTCATCACGGGAAGACACGTGTAACAAAACAAAAGAGATCATTCTAAAGACAAACAGCATAAAGTGAGGATATACATATGCTCCCCTACTGAAACCCACCCCCAGCAATTTTAGAAAAAAATCATTATTTGGATGTGATCTTTTTTATCTCTTTAACCTCTATATATCAGTAACATCCTATTTATCCCATTGCTGATGTTTCAGAAGAGTATTCTTTTTTGACAGTGCTGGTCATTAGCAGGAAAAGAACCTAGATTTTTGGCAGAAGCATCTTAACGAATTTTGAAAAGATTTTTCTCAAGAGCATGCAGAAAGGAAAACACAGGAGAAAACTTTTATTAGACATCAGCTATCCTCTACCATTCAGTCTTGCTGTTCTCACGTTCCTCCCATTGATGGCACTTGTCAAGGACAAGTTATAGGTTCCCATAAAAAACATATAAAACTAATTGTTTAACAATCTTCATCAGAACTCTCTCTCTAAAATATGCTTGTAGAAGAAAAGGTATCAAACAAAATATTTAGCTTTCATAAGAAATACTCACTTTTATCAAAGGCCCCAAGTTTTAACCTCAGCCTGCTCTTGATGGCAGCGTGCTTAAATTCTTACAGACCACTGGAGTGGGTACAGATAGAAATTCTTATCCCCATCAGCAATTTGCAAGCAAATCTGCTTTGCAGAGTTATACAAAAATTAATTGCCTGGGGTGCTTCCAATTAACAGTCATCTCAACAGACGACTGTAAATAACAAAGTATGCCATTACTGTACCTGTAAGAATTAAATTAAATACCTTCACACTGACACCACAAACTGCTTTGTAAGGAGTCTATGGACATGTGAATATTCCAACTGGTACCCCCCAGTATACTGAAGATATACATATGTTTTGCATTAATAACTAAAAATAAGTTTCACAACAAATTGTAAGTATCACATGAAGTTAGTAATATGTAACACAAAGCAAATACTTAGAAGAAATCCAAAAACTCACTTGTATGGTTTCTGAGGCAGAATGCTGATTCGAGTCTTGTCAAGTATCTTCTTTAACTTATTTCTTCCCCCAACTGTGTTGGCTTTACTTTTCTTATTTACTTTCTCTAATCCTATTACCTGTTCCACATCAACGGCCAGATCTGGGATGGAATAACGGCTCGCCTTTTTAATATCACCAATTTTAGGCAAGTGAGGAGCACCGTTTCGTTTTTCCTCTGACAACCGTGTTAAAAGTTCTTTAAAAACTGTACAAGACAAAAGGAATGAAAGAAGAACAAAAAACGTAAAAGAAAACACTGCACAGCTGACCAGTTCACTATTAATCTATAGCACCTTCTGTTACTTCAAATATTAACTGAATTTAGAGATAAGACTAAATAATTTACAGCTTTTTAAGAGCACACTAATTTACTGTAGTAAGAATCAGAAAAATCTGAAAATGAGCCCAGCATGAAAAAGAAATACACTGGATAATCATATCATAGCTTGGATGTTGTCAGCAGAAGAAATTTGACTTTTCAGTCTAAAGATACGGACTTCTGTGGGATAACAGCATAGTAAAAAGAAAACAAATTAAAAAGAGAAATAGGCAAGAAAATTAGCAACTTTGAAGGGAAGTTTTAAACTGACAGCCAGCAATGAAAGCTCAGAGGTGGGCAATAACGAGCAACATCAAAAGTCAGAAATCAGAGGGGAAACTCACCAAATTGTTAAAAAATAAATAAATGAAATGAGATGCTATGGAAAATTCTCTGACCTCTTGGCTGTTGTGTCCATGTGCCAGATGTACAAGAACACCTGGAATCTTAGAAGGCTAACAGGCTGGGTATAGCAAAAGTCAGAAGGCCAAACTTCATACTGCTCCCAAATTTCTCCCACATCACACTAGCAAACAGTCATCTACAAGGCAGAAATACCTGACGAATTTCTGAATCATTTCTTCTACCCAGGTTTAAATTTAACCGAAATGTCAACGTATTTAAATATATTTAAAAAACTGATATGACAATGAATCCAAATCAATTTGAAATAAGACAGTACCTATAGATAAATAGAAAAAAATATCATATCTGATAATTTGATTCGTAATGGTCAAGAGAGATATGAACCCACGTTAGAACAAACTGCAAGATTAACACTGGAGGTCAGATAAAAGGGATGCACAAATCTCTCCTAGGGAGCAAGAAGAGAAAGGTTTTTTAAGTATTTAGCCAGAGAGGTTGAGGATGCTCCTTGCCTGTAAGCATTCAAGACCAAGTTGGACAGGGCTGGAGCAACCCGGTCCAGAGGGAGGTGTCCCTGCCCACAGCAGGGGGAGATGGAACTTGGTGATCTCAAAGGGCCCTTCCAACACAAAGCTGTCTATGATTCTATGATTCTGCTTTTCTGAACAAACAGAAAGCCACTGCTATGGGCCTAGTACAGAACATACAAAAAGTAACAACTCATGCACGGTCTTGTATATAGGACACTGATGTAAGAAGGACTTCAGTTATTTACATATCCTTGCAAAGAATAACTTGTCTGTACAGAAATAGTCCAAGGAATTTTTTTTTTTAAGTGTGAATAATTTTAATCTCAGGAAAAAGAGAAGCTCTCTGTATTTTAACAGCTTAGAAGTAGAATATCTTCAAAGAAAATCACCATAAAGAAGGAAGATGTTTTAAGAAAGAGAATGAGTAAGAAAAAAAGAATATTCAACCCAAGAGTTTGAGCTAGCACAGATTTTGAGAAGATAAACTAAGAAATAGGAATTTATGTTGGCCAATTGGCACTTGCTGCAGAAGGCTACGTTAAATAAACAATAGGAATCTCTCTCAAAAGTGAAGAAAATCAAAAGCAAAGAAAGCAGTCGTCGTTTCTCCAGTATTTTCTGTGAAATTGATGATTAAAAGTAAGGAATTGTAGAAGAAAAGGGAAAAAAATGGTAAGCAGCTAAGAATGAGAATTCAAAGCGAGGTTGTACTCCACTGTATCCATTTTTGCCCTTAATAATCTTCTCCTCCAGTGGTACACAAGAAATTACCAGGTAATCTTAACAGCTTCAAATATGACTAAAAGAAAAGCAAAGCAAAATTCGTAACAGTATTGTAGAAAAGGAGCTGGGGGCTAGAGAGACGGCTTAAATAACACGCAGGAAAATGCCAGTAAGAAATAGGAATCTCCTTTGGAAAATTATTGATAGGAATATTGCATGCAATACACTACTGTGATGCCATTTCAGTGTTAGGAGTGGATTCAAAACTTAGAAAGCACTACTTAAGAAACCGGGTTTGGCCTTAAGACTAAAGCAACGCACACAACTAAAAAAATCCAGAGATACTTTTGCAAACAATTTGCAGAGAAACAAGCACGTAGAGCTAAAGAAGCACATACAGCTACATTAATAAATGCTTTATTATAAATAATTGAAATGTTAGAATCATGATTGGAAAGGAAAAAGAAAAGCCGCAGGATATAGATTTCACAAATAACTTCTGGAAATAGACTATGCATATTTAACCATCAATTAATTAGTGCAGTGGCATCCTGTGGAAATATTCTGCCCTACTTATTTACAGCGAAGAACATCATCATGGAAGAAATACTTAGGGAACACATCAGTAAATCATATAAACAATCTAAGTACCTACTGGGGAAAAAAGAAAAAAAATCAAGTAAAAAGCACAAAATCTATTTCTTACAATAGTAACAGAGGTCCTGAGTTGCTTAAAGACTCCTTCAGGACTGTTTTGGTACTCGTTAGAAAGAGAAATGGAGGGAATAGACTTGGGGGATAGCAAGATTGTTATTGCCCATCTGACAGAAGTTTTTATTAATCTTTCTGTACTCATCTTACAGCACAGAACGAGGAAGTATGCAAAAGTACAGATTAAGATCACTGCCAAAAAAGGCTTTTTATTGAGACAAAGCTAAATCTTGCAAGTGCCAATGTGTTTCATAACTTCAAGCTAAATGGCCACTGCAGTTCCTGCCTCTTAACCCAAACATAAGCACTTCTGAGAGTTAAGTGACCTCAAAGAAGCTTATTTGTAAATTTTCCTCTGCCATTTTGAATTCAGATGCTTTAGGACACACAAAGCTCCTGTTCCAATTCTTCCCACCTCAGAAGTATTTCAAGTAATTATTTTAAACCATTTCCAAATGTCTTCTGTGCAAAATGAAAAACTTCATCTAAATTAGAAGAAAAACCGCATGTGAACTTACCAAATAAATTGGTTTTCACAGTGATAGACAGATGAGTGTTATTTCTAAGGATTTCCATGGCTTTTGACAGCTGAACATTTTCAAAGTTCTGACCATTCACTTCCAATATCTAAAAAGACAAAGAAATTAGCAATATTTTAATTTAGTGCAGAGAATGGAAGAAAAAAAAGGAAAAAAGCCCCACATTTAAAATACATACCTGATCTCCACGTTTCAGGCCTGCTTCTGTAGCTTTACTACCAAAATCTACACTGTCAACAAAGATTCCAAACCCCTTTTCTGACCCTCCCAGTAAGATAAAAGGCAAAGGGGCTTCTCGAGATGGCTTTGTTAAGGTTATCAATCTTCTTTTCGCTTTAGCGGCACACGCGATATTTAACAGCCTCAAATGTCCACCCATTTTCTACAAAAAAAGAAGAGCACAGTGAGTTATATATAATAACAGCCTATTCCTTGCTATCTCAAACTGTTAGAAAACAAACTTCTTACCTCCCTCTCCAAATTGTTCTCAAATTCTTCCAGAAATCGAGTCATAGCAGGATCTCCTTCAAAATCATTGAAGTGATTGTTCACCCACAACAATACTACCCGTGTAACCTGAAAATTAATTAATTCAACTAATTACCAAACAGTACTATTGCTCAGTTCTTTAAAAAAAAAACAAAAAAAAAAAACAAAAAAAAACCCTGCTTCTTACAGCTTCTGAAAGTTTTCATCAGGATCCTGAGTGTTATATACCCTAACTTCACTGATATGCAACCATTTACCAGGAGGAAAGAATGAAGCAGAAAAATTGCTTGAGTTGTTATTACTGAATAGAGGGAAGGGAATAGAGGATACACACGTATAAGGCATTGACATAGATCAGTTTCTGACTTACATCAACCATTTCCTGTCTGCATATATTTCAAAACCTGCTTAACTCTTCAAGCACGTGATCGTGAAGTTTCTGATGTTTTCCTTAAACTGGCTCTTGAAACTCACAAAACTTGATATAAGCTACCATTAACTCCATTAGGCATTTGCCTGTGTAAAAGAGCTATTGTACATTCACAGAAGCAAGAAAAAGGAACTACTGTGAGGAGCAGGAAAGAGGTCTTAACAGTGAATAGATGCAATTTTCTTCCTTACATTCAATCTCCCAGCTTACACCTCCTCTCTCTTCATCCTTACTCTCCCCATTCAACTGTGATTATCAAGTTCAAATGGATATTAGCTTGTACTTTACAATTTGTTGGGAAAAAATAGGGATGCTATCTGTCAATTAATATCACTAAAAGTAAAGCTAAAAAGACAAGAGCTATTTTTTTTTAAATGCTGTTTTTTTAAATGTAGGCTTCCACTGCAAAATTTGATCTTAGTGCATGATTTGACCTAGAAGATCAGCAGCTCTTGTCCTCACAAAATGCAAGATTTCTGATGCTTAGAATTAAAATTCATTCACACCATTCTAAAGAGACTCCTGAATCAAAAATGGTTGCGCCACTCAGAGATCTCAGAAACACAGTATTTCTTGTGTTATGATGGGAAGGCAACTCAGGACGGAAAAGAACTAAAGAATTCAAAAACCAAAGCTTAGAACAGAATCTCATACAAATTCTAATTGCAAAGCTAACCACTGTCAGTTCTTTGTCTGTGCACAAAATATAAACCCCTGCAGTTTCTTGTGCTAAAGATCTGAGACAAAGCATCCAAAAGCAAACCTCAGCACCCTCATGGGAGCCATACCGTTTGTATTTACACTGTTTCCAAGCGGGTTCCCTTTTACGCTGAAAATGAAGTGAATTGAGAAGAACTGTTGAAGTTCTCAACCAACCTAATCAAGTGTTTTAGAGAGACTGGATTCTAAAAGGGAATAATTACACACTATCTGTTCTACAGCCTCAGAAAATAGGCGAGGGGTGGCATTTCTGACATATTTGAGATTTTTCCTTCTTTAAAACAGAAGACGAACTTCTTTTCTGTTAAGCATCCGTGCCATTTTTCATTAATGCAGATCACACTGGAAGACACAGATGATGTTTAGATAAATTTGGAGCAACCACAAATTTTTAAAATCATCTGGGAAGTTGTGAGCCACGTAACGTATTTTAAATCACTGCAGTGAAAGCTTCAACATCAATACTGCTTTCGAAGTTGGGACTTAGTGCTGTACTCAGCAGACACAGCACTGAAGCGGTTTGAGCAGTGACTTCCAGAACAATGTCATCACTAACATTGGTACCAGCAGAGTAATGCTATTAAAAAAAAAAGAAAGAGTAAAGCTTTAAAATCAAGTACCCTGATACTGGACAAAACCATCAGAAAGGCTAGATCTCAAATACCCCAGACTGACTACCAAGTACTGATGGTACTCATGGTGTTTTACTCATTCACTTCCCTCTCCTCACCATCTGCCAGCTCCCAATAGAAAACAGCCAAAATCCTCCAGATATGGTATGCCGCTTATTTTTGCTCTTCCCAAGCTACTGTCTTTCCTGCACTTGAACCAAGCAGCCTTTTTGTCAGCACCGCTCAGTGTCAGAGGGCTGGTTCTTGAGATGGCAGAACAAAGAGCTGCTCTGTTTCCAGTGCTGACAGTCACTACACTTGCTTATGTTCTTAGAGGCTGAGAGGATTATCCATAGGAGGACAGGAAAAATAAGTTTAAAGATGAACCCTGGTATTAGAGCTCTGAAGCTCTAGCAAGTCTGTGCTAAACAATATTAGCTGCAGCTTTCCAGTGTACATAGCAATCAGATTTTCACAGGAACAGCTAGTACTTCCCTGAAGCAAAGCCTAACCTTCTGCCAAGAGAGGCACAGACACAAAGACAAAGATACACTAGCATTTCTAGTCAAAGAAATATCTGGGTTTAAATACAAGTCGAATAGCAAACTTCTCTTTAACCTTTTTGACATTATTTCCTTGGTTTCAAATCTTAAAAAAAATTGTGCATTTTCCAACTAGTGTTTTACATTTGAAAAATGTATAAAGCTGTAAATAAAGCATTACAGTGTGAAGCACAATTTGGCCTCAATAGACACTGTGTGGCTACCAGTGTGCCATAGTTGGATAGACAGGATGCTCTTCCATCATGGTAGTCTTGTCCTGGGAAGGAGCTGTTTGACTGCTGTTTTTTTTTTCCTAATACTGTGCAAGGCTCAGCAGATTTCTGACAATGGCTATACTTTCTAGAGCCTTTATGTGAGAATAAATTATCACCAAGTGTTTGCCAAGATGTATTAACTAGTATTATAACAGAAAACACAGAACTTCATTTTATGCTCAGATTTCCAGGCACTACAGAACTCCATTGAACAATATTAAATAAATATGCTAATTATTAGGAAAAAAAGCTTTTCTTGTACTAGCAGCACTTGTATTTTGCTGTAGAAACAAAGAATGTAAAAGACAGCTTATGTATGTTGAACACTGTCATTCTTACTCTTACCCATGCAGTTTGCCATTAAAATACTTCACCAGCTATTTATATCTTATTCAGCTTAGTCACCCAAATTATTCAGTTATTCAGATATATTCAGTTATTCAGTTTAGTCACTTTTTATTACTAATGGCTTATTTTCTTATATATACAATTAAAGGTATATAAACTTCAGGGGATTTTAACCTTATCCCTGAGGCTGGGGTCATTGAACCACTCCAACAACTTTTTCCCCACTTCCATTGGGCTGGAAAGAAAGGTCCGATACGTCAACAGGAAGTCTTCTATAAATGTTGGGTCTACCACAGAGTGTTCTTCCACCAAATGCATTGTTAACCTTTCCGCTGTTCCCTATAGAGAAATTAAACCTTAATTATTAAAACATATTTTCAACAAATGAAAATTTGTTTTCTCGTAGCATACTGAAGATGAATTATGCTAGAAAGAGCAGTACTGTCGCTACTGACTGATGAGATAAATGTCACAGTTTAACCATTTTTATAAGAAATGTTAAAAAAAAAAAATTCCGTAATTATGTTTTAGAAAAATTACTTAGTTAATCATGTGCATAACATTTTAAAGATAAAAAAATAGAATTTTACATCTTTTAATTTCAAATACATAGTTTTATAATACATATCTCAACTAACCTTGAGCCTTACTTTCCGATCACAGAATGGCCTGGTTTGGAAGGGACCTCAAGGATCATGAAGCTCCAACTCCCTGCCACAGGCAGGGCCACCAACCTCCACATTTCATAGCAGCCCAGGGCCCCATCCAACCTGGCCTTGAACACCTCCAGCGATGGATGGGGCATCCACAGCCTCTCTGGGCAGCTGTTCCAGCACCTCACCACTCTCTCTGTAAAGAACTTCTCCCTGACATCCAACCTAAATCTTCCCTCCCTCAACTTCAAACCCTTTCCCCTTGTCCTGCTGTTATCTATCCTGTCAAAGAGTTGATTCCCCTCCTGTTTGAAGGCTCCCTTTAGGTACTGAAAGGCTGCAATTAGGTCACCCAGCAGCCTTCTTTTCTCCATGCTGAACAAGCCCAGCTCCCTCAGCCTGTCCTCGTAGGGGAGGTGCTCCAGCCCTCTGATCATCTTTGTGGCTCCTCTGCACCCTCTCTCCAACAGCTCCTTGTCTTTCTTGTACTGGGGGCTCCAGACCTGGACACAGCACTGCAGATTGGGCCTCACAAGAGCAGAGCAGAGGGGGACAACCACCTCCCTGTCCCTGCTGGCCACCCCTCTTCTGATGGAGCCCAGGATCCCCTTTGCTTTCTGAGCTGCAAGAGCACACTGCTGGCTCACATTAAGCTTTTCATCCACCAGGACCCCCAGGTACTTCTCTGCAGAGCTGCTCTCAAGGACCACTCCTTCCAGTCTGTATGGATGCCTGGGATTCCTCTGGCCCAAGTGCAAAACCTTGCCCTTTGCTGTGTTGAACTTCATTAGATTCACCTGGGCCCACCTCTCAAGTCTGTTGAGGTCCCTCTGAATGGCACTCCTTCCTATCTCTGCCAAGTACAGAGGTTTATAAACACAGACCTTTGCAAGACTTTCCCCCCTTTCTGCTCTTACCTTGATGACAATGTGACCTTTTCTTGTTCCAGTGCGATCAAGCTCTCTGTGCTCCTTAACCATCACAATCTCTCCTTCCTCTTCTACCTTCTGCATGTTCTTTTCCACTTGATTGAGGATGCGGCAATAATCTTGCTGAGCTATACAAACAAACTGGAAAGAATCATCACGCACCAGTATTAAAAGGTAAAGTCTTAAAAAAAACCAAACATTTAGACTTACGATGCAAATACTCCATCATCAAAAAGGCAGTTGTTCAAACTGCAGTCAGCCAGATTTGTCTTATCAGCAGTTCAGCTGTAATAAGCAGATGAATACACAGTACTTCCAAAACAATCTTGCAATTAGAGGAGCCCATTGATCAGAGCAAGATGAATTAGCATTACCAGCCATTTTTGTTCAGCAGCTACAACTGCCCTGCTTCTAGAGATGAAGCTCAGGATCCTATAGCTGATATTGTGCCTTTTTGTGTGCTATTTAAAAGGGTAAAAGAGATTGAAAGAAAAACTTTGCTTCTGTTTGTGTGCATGTGTGTGTGTGTTTATTACTATTCCAATTATTTTCATTTATTGTTAAAGAAGTCAACCATCAAGAAAACTAACATTTATTCTTTTTCATGAAAGCAACCACGTAAACATATCAATTCTGGACTAAAGCACACTGCAGGAAAAAAAAAGAAAGCTATGTGATCATCTGCTCAGCCAATACTGAGCACTAGAACAGATATCTTAAGAATACTCCAGCACCTACACTATCTAAATGTGATCACTCACTACAACTTGTAAAAAAATATATATGCTTTACAACTTTTTTTTTCTTTTAAATATTTGAGATTAAACTGTCTTCTTAAATAAGCCTAGGCCACCAACAGAAAGGAAATTACAGTGTTTCTCTTATTTGACAGGTTGCAAAATCATTGTGTATGATGGTTTAGGCATGAGATTCCCAGGTAGAATTTCTCTCTCACTCTTCATAATGAATCAACATAACGTTTCTGTTTCCAGTAGTTACCAGGAGCTGAAACAGAGCTCCTACAATCTGGATTGCTTGCAGAACACTATTCTAAGATGCCATTTATGTGCTTATTCAAAGTTAGATGGACAACCTAAACCCGGTGATTTCATTAGCATATTTTCACCTATTTCAAAGGGCATCTCATGAAAGCTAATTAGCCTTCAAAACCAACAAAAATGCTTAATTTACCTACATTAAGTCAGCAAACACTATGTGTCCAGATTGAGCTGGTTATTTTATGCTACAAGAAGTGCACCTTGCTACTGACTGCTTGTGTTACAGCAAATGCCAAGACATTTTCCTTCAAAGGCCAGGCTGGCTGACACTAAAATATCTACTCAGAATATCATACAGAAGACAGAGAGATGTATTCCTGTAAGATTCAGTATCTGAGTCCAGTGAGGAAGAACGGCTATTATCTACAGAAGTAAAAGAGCCTTTAATGGGTAATGGACCTTGACATTCCACTAAAAGAATGAAACTGAAAAGCAAGGATATATGCAATGGAAAAGAAAAGTGAAGCAATGGATATATGCAGCAGGCTGCTGGGCCTTAAGCTCTAGAGAAAGCACATAAACCTCATCATTCAAAACCCTATCATCCCTATCCGGATGAAGAGAATTCAATTTCCTGGACCATGCATACAAACACAGGAGCCATATTTCTCCAGTAGTGCACTGGTTATGCACTGCAGATCTTACGCACACGCTCAAATTTAAAATAAGGCTGTGTCTGGTTGTATTACTTCTTTGGTTTTGCTTGTACAATTATACACTCTACCTGGCAGTCATCCACTTTGGTTCTCATCACTCCTTTCATATACTCCTTTTCCATGGTAGGGGAAACTCCAAAGCTGTTTCCCATGCACAGTATCTCTGTTCTTCCATCAGGATACGTCACTTCCACAGATCCATTCAGAATGACTGACCAGGAATCCAGCTACAAAGTAAATGTTGGAAGATCGAATCACTTGACATTGTAATATCATACAGTACAGTTACAATCCCTAAGCTTTTTTCCTCCCCAAAGGAACAGTCTTTTCTTCTGCATCTATTAACAAGATGTATATACTAGACTTTAAAACACTGAAATATACTTCCAAAATCAGCTCTAACAGGCAAGAAGCATTGCGTGTGTTATGAAGACCGTTTATCTTAAACTTTTATTGAACAAGAAACACTGCATAAGTACTTAGAAAAAGCTTGTTAGGGCAGATCAAGAAGAGGCAGCTTTTACCTGCTCAACATTACTTTAATTTTATTTTATTTTATTTTTTAAGTCAAAAAGCAGGACCTTAGCACTGCATAATCTGGGATGTCTGGTATAACAGGAGAGTGAAAAGTAACGCCCACTGACCTCTTCCCCATCGTTCAGTACAATAGTTCCTGCTCTCTCCACAACTGCAAACACCATTACAGCACAGAGCTCTCTCCTCACTGACATTGTCATGTTGGCAAAAGCAGGCAACTGATGCATGAATTCCAGTAGTTGTTCTGAAGGAGAAAAAGCCCACTGAGTCACGCATGTCAAAACAACAAAGCACAGCAAAGACGGTTCTTCAGAAAGATGCCTAAGGCTACTTAAGCTAAAATGCTGCACAATCGTTTCTGTATACTAATAAATCATATACAGAGGCCTGTTGTAATTATTGAGTATTTTGTAGGCATAGACTAGCTGGCCGTATCGTCAGTAGAGACCCTGCAAAGTAAAAGTCAGCATAGTGGAAGAATTGTAATGTAATCAAAAGCTTTGAATACAGCCAGTGAAGCTAATTCTCTATTCAGCCAGACCAACAACTCCATTAAAACTAAGACAGGCTTATATGAAATGCATTAAAATATTGAGAGAGGAAATTTCACAAAATTGAGCAAGTTCCTTGTAAGTTCATTCCTTCTGCGTCCAGTCTAGACTTAACAGTAATTTGTACATGGGTGTAACATGAAATGTTCAAAAATTCCCTTAGGATGGACTGGATAGAACAGCATTAGTGTTGTTCTGTCTTCTGTGTATACCGGAGTTCCACTTGTACTCAGTTATGAGCTTCTCCTATGCTTTGATTTTTCACACAGCTCATAGCTAGATGGAGCTCATTTTTCCTTCATAGAGAGTGATTATATGCCCTAAACACGAGATGTTTTTGCATTTATGTTTATCTAAGTGTACTGGAAACAGTCCATCCTTTTCCTAAAGTTTTATTTATGCATAATCCTATGGTGGCTGAGGCTGGCAAGGGCTGCCATGTCCATCAGTCCCAGCCCCAGCTGCAGCAGGGCCACCCATAGCAGCTGCCCAGACCCATGTCCAGGCAGCTTTAGGAGATCTCCAAGGAAGAAGGACTCCACAGCCTCTTTGGGCAGCCTGTGCCACGGCTCCAGCACCTGCATGGTACAGAAGTGCTGCCTGATGTTCTGACAGCACCCCTCATGTTTTGCTTTGTGCCCATTGCCTGTTGGCCTGGCACTGGGTATTGCTGAAAGGAGCTCAGTTCTGTCCTCTTTGCACCCTCCATTCAGGTATTTGTATGTGTAGAAGAGATCACCCTGAGACTTCTTTTCTCCAGGATGAACAGTTCCAGCTCTCTCAGCCTTTGCTCATATCAGAGATGTTCTAGCCCCTTAATTATCTCATAATCAAACTTAATCATCATTTAGTTATACTCTGATTAAAGAAAAAAAAATAAAAAACAAAATCCGAGCCAGTAAAACAAATTCAATTAGAAATGGTAATTATTATAATTCTAGTTATGCATTGCTTTGCTTTCAAGATATTAGTCTGTACATTAACATAGCAAATTAGTTTTAGTAGATTCACATTTATGTGAAAGGTCTTACGCCTCCTTATGCTTAACAAATAAAAGCAAAAATACTTACTTCATAAAGTCCTGTTATCTATTAGAAATAGAACATTGAAACACAGAAGGCCAGCACTGATTGTTTTCACCCATGCCATGTGTATTTTCTGCACCTTTGGCTGTACTCATTCACTGTTCTGTATGAGTCAACTAATAATAAGAATAACCAACTAACAATAAGAATAAACACTAAGCTTACCAACTACAAAAGCCAAAAGCTAAAATCCTCACATTTCAAAGGTACACTTTTTGGTGAAGTCAAAATAGATTTGATAGCGTTTTATTACACTGTAATACTTACCAATGTCATCATCTGTCCTGTCTATTGGGTCCTTCTCCAAGCAATCTCTGACAATATCTCTACTCATCAAAGGATCTGATGCCCTTTCAATGTCTTCTTCATCGTCATCATCCTCAGAATCCACTGCTGTCTCTGGCAACCCACTGAGATCCATATCACCAGCCTCACTTTCTGTAGCCTAAATTCAAGTATAAACATTTTTTTTTAAAGCATTCAGATATGCTCGACGCTGCTCCTGTTTCCCACTTACTATACAGACATCAATTCTATCTGATCTCTCAACTGATTTTTGTATATACATATTTTTTATTATTTCTTTTTAAAAGAAATCAACCCCAAAACAATGCTTAAACAGCTTTCAACATATTTTAATCAGTCATACATAAACAGGATTCAACATACATTATTCACTTAGTATGTCCTGGGGGAACTGAAAGCAATTTATCCCAAGAAATTGTTCCTCAAAATAGACAAAAAATAGATTACAAAAATACAACCAAAACAGTTAACTTAAAACATTTTATGTTCCTGCCCTAACATTAAATTTTCAGACATCTGTGAATGCAATCTTCTAATGAGAAAGTTTTAAGCTATGGCTTGACAAAGCCAAGTTCTTCAGATGTTGTATGAATGCAAAAAATGCCTCTGTGTCTTTAAAAATACTGCATGGGACAAACACAGATACCAAAGCCTGTTTCAATGCTGTGATTTACATTTAAAAACAAAACAAAACATAGGTTGCCCTTTAAACACAGACAAAGTAAGCCAAATTATAAAATTATATTTGTTTTACAATAGAGTTCTTCCACACTTCTGCCTGACAAGGCATGGCTGACTTTTGTTACTTAAATGACTTTGCACACAATCTCCTTGCAAGTGAGGGCGCATGGCTGGAGGGGGATCAGACCAGCCAGCAATGCTCCTGAACACTTCAACCCTACAACATAACAACCCACGTTTGCAGCAAGCTTTCACACTATCATCTGCTAACGTGAAAATCATCACAGCAGCACCTAGGCCATATTCACATTATTCTTACTATGCTTTTAAAAGGAGAAAAAAACAATGCTGAGCATTCCTGAAACAGCATAAAGAAGCCTGTTTTCGGCATATAAAGGAATCACAAGAATGCAACACTGCTAGCAATGCTTTCATTAGCAGTCTTGCTGTGCTTAGCATCAACACTCCCTATGATACATTTGAAGCAGTTGCTCCAACTACTCTTACAAAACACATTTCATCAAAAAAGACTGGTGGAAAAATTAGCCATGATGAGTCAGTAGACTCGCAGCTTATGACACGGATCTGTCAGAATAAATCCCCAGCTGTGACAATTCCAGAGACGGTGTGACTAATTCACATGTTGGTTTTGCAAATCCTCCCTTTACTAACGAGTGCCACTCTTACCTGCTCAGAATAAACTTTCTCAAAAGCAGGATGGAAAGCTGAACGCAACATTAAGCTTAGTCACACAGCGCTAACATACCAGAGGTACTCTGGAATCCAAGAAAATTCCACATATTGTATTAATAAAAAAAAACAACACAAAACTTGACTGCCCACTTTCAGTTTATTGCTTTAAAATCGAAGCCCTAAGAAAAAAAAGGATGTCATATTAAAAAAAAACAAAACAAAGACAAATTAAACGCAACTTGGTATTCAGAAAATAGCTTAAACATCGTAACTAAAGGATACAAATATTTCCTGAGCGATGATCACATCTTACAGAGCTAATTAAATCCTTCTAGCAACGAGTCATTGACAGAAGCAGGAACAGCTGCTTTATCATCCAGGTATTTAATACTTATCAGTAAGTACAAATCCTTGAAACTCAGAATTGAATACAGCAATCCACAGAGAGCAGCAGTAAAATGTAAGACATCTCACCATGCAAGAGGGAGATGCACTTCTTCAAGCATCACGTAGTTATCACACAAAAGTCAGCAAAGGAAGAATATGCAGCCTTTGCATGGAGGCAGCACGCATTTGCTGTAGAAAACAGTGAAGAACCTCTTCCCACAAATACACCTTCCCAGTTCACACAGGCAAAAGTTTTGCATGAGTTTCGCTGCGTTATGTAGAATAATTGGATATGCCTTCATGTTAGAAGCACACATCCATGTATCTGCTCCAAATAAATTAGGTGCTTAAAGCTTAATAACATTAAATATAACATCAAGTGTTCGGTATCCTCTTAACTGCTACACTGAACCTCATCTCAATCTAGTTCCACTTTTTTACTCCACCATGAGTTAGAACACGCGGTGTCTGCATAGGAACTCTTAGTTATGGAAACAACAGCCATACATTTGTGTAAGACTAAAGGAAAATTAGTGAGCTCCATTGGGGATAGGGGCTTCTTCGTACCAAGAGAAAATCCAGAAAACAAGGTGCATATCCTGCAGAGTTTATCCCATGCTCAGTGGTGAGGCTTAAGGATTTCCAAGGCATTTTTCACAAGGATGAAATACACCTCAGCACGCTATACGCTGTCATAGGTACATGTTGTGTCCTTTACTCTCATGCACTCTTTTTACATTTACGTATGAAAAATTGGTTGCAGCTTAAACTCAAGAGAATGTCTCTCCAAAATCGCAATACCAGTAGTGATGAAAATTTTCTGCACGGTTGAAAAGATGTCACAAAAAATTTGCTGAAGCTTCCAAAGGAATCATGCAACAGTGACAGCCTGGGATTTCTTTTGTCACATCACCAACAAGAAACTCAGGAGGCTGAGATTCTCAACCTTGAGGCGAAGTGTTATTTCACTTACAATGCATGAAGAGACCTACCTATTTCTAAGCTGTGCCTATTAAGATTAATAATGAAGTAATACAAAAATGCTTGCTTCAGTCGCTGCGTCCGAGACCAAAGTAAGTTCTGAATTTAAGTGGTAAAAGTTAATTAAGTAGATACAGTAAAATGATGACAGAAATATGAAAAGTAAAAGCGCACTAAGTTTTCCTCAGATAGCCTCTTGAATGATTTTTGTAGGGAAAAATGTAAATAGAAAGACTGCCATTCTCATTTGGCCCAACTTGGCAGACTGGAGAATGAAGACCTTGCTGGTTTTGTTCGACTGCGAGGAAAGTGATTAAATCCAACTTTTCTGGAGGTAACATGAACATAAGATGAGAAGGGATGGACAACATGAACCGCTAAGGAAGATGACTGCTTTTACAGTCTCCTTCTCCAACTGATTTGGATATCTGTCAAGGAACAGGTGAGAAGAGGTCAAGGGGACATGTGCTCATTCAACAAGTCTGTTTATATACAATCAAGCAGCTCTCAGGGTTAAACACTTCCTTGCTCAATGCCTGCACACACACCAAACACACACTCTTTACTTTGGTAAAGAAAGAACAGAACAGTTCAGTTCAAGAGAATCATCCTGGAGGTGTTCGTGGCCAGGCTGGCTGGGTTTTTGAGAAAACTGGTCTATCAGAAGGTGTCCCAGAACCATGGGCAATATTCAAGATGAGGCCACACCAACCCCAGATGTAGTGGGGTCCTCTTGTGGCTGTGGCTGTGACGTGTTTAATGCACACTTAAGGGGGAAGAGAATGGAGAAATGTTCCACTTTTTAAGGTGAAAAGAAATACATCAATTTTGAAGAATGAATGCCCCTCTGTGACAGAAAAACACAGAATATGTAAATGTGCAAGAAAAAAACAGTGGAGAAAAAACAAGACTGCTATTGTGCAGATCAAAAGTAGGTTCATCTATGCTGTATTTCTAGTTAATAAAGGAAACAGACAAGCCTCATTCAAAAATATCTCACTCTGTTTTTTTTTTTAATCATTCTCATTATCACAGTCAAAGGGCTAAAAACGATGTATGTTTATTAGCATACATGTGAAACAATGGATATTTATTAAGTGAAAAGTGAAACGATGAATGTTTATTAGCAAAAATATTCCTTTTTTACTTTTCAGAGTATAAACTGCAAAACACCAAGGATGCTGACACTACAATATCAATAAACTGCTATGAAATTCAACCCCTACAACTAATTGTAATATGAAACTGTGTGTTATACAATTATTATAATACACATTGCAATCAATTTGAACTACTGCAAAAATACAAATCTTACACAACTTCAAGGTTGTCCAATTATTTTCTTACAACTGCACTGCCAAGAGGGCAAGGGGCCATGAAAATCCTACACAGACCTTGCTTCAAAGAGGACCCGTATCAGACTCATGGGAAAACAAAGCTGACATCTTGACAATATCCTAGAGCTACAGGCATCCTGGGAGGGTCGTGGAAAGGATGTTGCCCACTTCCTTTACTGCTGGGAGAGTTTGGGACAGATGGGAGGGCGCTTAGGGCCAACGGGAAGCCCCCAGTATAAGGACAGGATAAGGTAAAGAAAGGCTGACGAAGGAAAGACCGCCAACAACACAATGCCTTCCCAAGAGAGAGAGGGGAAGCCACACATTCACAGGCTCAAATCACACTCTCTGAGCAGGATCATCAGCTGGTGATGAACACGTCAGGGATAGGAAGCATTTAAAAAGCGTATAGGAAGAGATACATGACTAAACAGGAGAAGCTGCAACTAACACAAGGCAAAAGCAAAGTATTGTTCTTGGACAACACCAGCCTGCACACAAGCTACCAACACTCTGCATCCCCTTCCTCTGCAGCCACGTTACAGTCACTCTTTGAGTCTGATTTCCTAAAATAAAAGTTCCAGCGTTTAATTGCCTTACTGATGGGCACCTGAAATGTATTTTGAGACTTAGGTGAGCCAAAGACAAAGGATTACTTGTTTTATTTTGGTAAATAATTCTTATCTTAAAAAGAAGCTCTTTCATGTGCAACATCTGACAAACAAATTTAGTTACAGCATTAATATTTAAAAGGAAATGATCTCAGCTCAACACTGAAAGCATCTACAGATTCAGCTTCATGATTTATTTAAAAAAAAAAAGTCTGAAGAGGCCATGAATGTTTTTTTATTGGTGTTCTTCAAACTATAGGACTAAAGTACATGTTCTAACACAAAATATTCCACAATAAATGCTCATAGTACTTGATGCCTGCAGGGACGTAGGTTATTTTAATAAATTCTCGGGCACTGTGTGAATGTACAGATTACAATAAATTTGTGCCAAGAATTTTTTAAATGAGGAATTAACTGAAGATTAAAATTGACAAAAATCAGCAAATATTTTTAAGCACGTGACAAAGTGTCCTCTTTCTAATTAGACTTGAAATTATTTTTGGTATACTGTAATAGTAAATATTCTCCATGTAAATACTTTAAAAAAAAAAAATCAGTAGCTCTCTCTACCATCCTGAAGACTCCATTTTTGTAAACAAAACTTACTACAGGAGTCATGTATCAAATTGGCGACTACAAGAAGCAGTGTTTTTCTCATGTTTCTCCACAGTACAGCTTTTTGATAGATCAGTTTAAATTAAATTTTATCTGCCTTTTCAGAAATTGCTATGGTTTCCTATTAGAGGATGTGGCAAGAGCTAAAAATATCAAGAGAAGGATCTAGACTTCCTCAAATTATTTTACCTAATTTTTGTTTTAATTTATATTCATAACAAGCATGTGCACCTCAAACATTCTAGACACCTTTAGGATCCGTTGCACGTTAAATGCCTCAAAACTCAGGCTACTCCGAACGGAGAGCACAGGACTTTGCAACAAGAGCCTCCCCCCAGCAGAGTAACAACCTGAAATCTCACCACTCCTAGCACTGGGTCTCCAAAGGGTGGAGAAATGGGATTCATCCCTCAAGGCAGATTCTACTCACTGAGAATGTTTTCTTTTAAGTATGTTTCAGAGCGTGAAGCCAATCCATATCAGAACGGATACATCATTCAGAAAAATACTTTACAACATTCTAAATCTTTAATTTTGAAATTCTGATCTAGCTTTTAACCATAATGCCAGCTCAGGGCACTTCTTGTCAACAGATCCCAAAGTCGTATTGAAGTAGCAGCAAAAATCACAGCAGTTGTTCTGCAAGCGGCAAAATAGATGCTCAGAAAAGGTGAGGCTGGCATCAGAACCAGAGCTCCTTTGTTGCTTTAAGTCCTACCAGAAAGCCCTGCAGAAGTGCTGTATTGGATCTCCGAACTGAAGTTGAGGACATGTCCTCTCCAAATAAAATCACAAAATGCAAACAAAATTCACAAAGTGGAATCCTGAAACACTGCAAAACACTATTTATGCCTACACTGCTGACTTGAAGGTGACAAACTAAGGGAATACATGTCACCGTGCAACACGTTACCTGCTGCGTTTTGCAACATCATATTAAGTGATGAAATCTTCAAATTATGCTGATTCAAACCAAAATTTGTCTTTTGAAATCTGTTAGACACTTCTTCAGACAAGAACTGACAATACACAGTAATCCAGGCATTGATTCATCAACACTGTCAACACCTCCCAACTAGTGCACTCCAGTCTTACCTGGTAGATATCAGAAAGGCTGCTGCTTACCTGGTAGATATCAGAAAGACTGCTGCTTCCCGAATCACTTGTGATGCTACATCCTGAGTGACTGGATGAAACGTGGGTCACCTGTGGGTGGAGACTGTCAGTAAGGTGCAGCTTTGTGAAATCTGCAGGAAGCTACAGGTGGAGCAGAAAAAGCATCATTACAATTTGATGTAGACAGACAGACAAATGAATTTAAATCATTTATGTCGCGCTTTACTCTCTGCCAGTACCAACGGTACTAAGAAAACCATTGGGGTCTGAGGATAAAGCATAACATTTCTACAGTTTTTTTTACATTGGTGCAGGGGTCAGCAACGTAATGCAGGCACTGAAATACAAGAACAGATGCAAAGAAAAAAGTCTGAAAACAAATGTGATTGAAGCAATAATTTTTGTGCCAAGACACTCCAGCACTCCAGTTTCTTACTCCGTACTTTGGGTAGAATTCAACTTCATGTGAATGTTACACTGCTACAAACATCAATGGTTTCCTTTAGACTAGGATTAACAGTGAGTAAAGCCACAGAATTACAGCAAAGACTGTTCTGGATTTGACCAACTCTTGCTTCCAAAGTAGACAGGGTGCATTACAGACAAGTAAAGTAAAATCCAAGCCACTGAACCGCCTGTTCTACTTTGGGTGAAAGAATATGGTGGCAAAAAGGAAACATGGAAAAACCAATACACCAGCCAAGAGCTGCAATCCTGAAATGAGTTTGCTAATGTGCTTTGCTGAAGAATGAAACAAAATGGTGCATTTGATCTTTTAACAAAGATCTGTTACATATACTTTACAATTGCTTTACACACTCAGCTCCCATCAAAATCTGTAAGAACTGTAAACCCTACCGGATCGCAGAAAGGAAAGATTGATGAATAAACCTTTAAAAGCTATTTCTCCTCTCCCCAAAAAGCTTTCATTCCCTTGATCACTAATAAAAGTACGTTAAACTATCAGTTTGACATGCAACAAATGCTTCAATAATTGGGGAAAAAAACCAAACAAAAACAAACAAACAAAATCCCTTTGTTCATTTTTTAATGCTTCCACTCAGACAAGGAAGATGCACATCTCAACAGAGCAACAATGCAGAGTTGTCCACCCACGTCAGTTATTAATGCAACCTTGGCACAACCGCCATTTGCCTTGGATGGAAACGAAATTAAGAGCTCATCTAACATTAAGACAGGATAAGTCAATCAGTAGGAAAGGTTAGGCAGAAAGTCAGCTGTAAGTCATAAGAACGGCTGTGCTTCAGAAAATGACTGGCTCGATACAGTCAGAGGTGCTGCAAGGTTTTACAGCTGCATGCCTGACATAAGGCTGCTCACAGTACGTGCCCTGAAAGAACCCTGACTTCAGGATGTGTGGTGAAACCACAGGCAGCCAGAAACCTCAGTCGCCTTTTGACTGACTGGCACTTCCTATTCCAATCTGTTCATTCTGCTACTGCCTTTTTCATTCCTTCAGTCTGAATCAGCACAAAACTACAGAGGGTGTGCTGATATTCAGGCCATTGTATTAATTTCTGATCACAATTCATAGAATCATCTTAGAATCACAAGGTTGGAAACGACCTGTAAGATCATCTGGTCCAACAGTCTTCTCCTCACCACTGCTGCCACAAACTAAACCATATCACATAGCTCCTCATCCAGGTGCCTCTTGAATTCAGATCATTCTAAAAATCAGAATATATTCTATACATAGGATGTGGAGGAAGTGAACCTCCATGGTTTTTATGACACGTCACTGAACGTTCCACTTGGTTCTGAAAATACAGTCCCTTGAATTAAAGTACTCCAGGGATATTTGCAAATCCTATATATTATTTTAACACGTGGACACACGTCGCCTAACGATAACTCACAAAATAGTATAATATTTTGAAAGATTTTTCAAATCTTTCAATACTATCTTGAAAGATTTTTATTTCAGGAAGTAGCAACTGTTTCAATTACAAATAAACTAACTCCAAAGGAATTATGGGCAGACCTGAGTTCAGCCAAACACATTTGTTTTTCTCAGTGCCCTTCAAACGTCTCCAAGTCACTAATAATTGCGTTTATTTTTAATCAATGCAATAACAATTCTTTTAAACCTTACATCAAAGCAAAGCCAGTTAGTACGTCTAAAAGAAAAAGAAGCCCATCTTTGTTTAGCATAATGACTGCAATTAGAGTTTTAAGTGGATCGTTGTTTTGCTCCTACATAGGGGATAGAAGAGGCAGGAGATTGCACCGCAACCGATAAAAAACAAGGCAAGTTAAAAGCAAGCCTTCTGAATTCTAGCTGCAGACAATCAGCTGAACGTCTGGTGACTACTGGTCTCAGAACAGCTCCCAGAGTCAAAGCCATGCCGCATGTGATGGGCTTGCCAAGTGGTGACAGCAGCAGATCAGAAGCAGGCATTTTACTTAGGGCAGCCCAGCCAGTCACTTTGATCTTAATCAAATAGGACTATTCACAAGCAGGAAGCACATGCTCACATCTTTGCAGAATACTCCATCACTGTGCAACATGCCCAAAAGCGACACCCAGTTCAACTGCCCTACCCCCAAACAAGTTAAGGTGAGAAGCTGTGTGAGAGAGGAAATAAAAGAGTGCGGAGGTTGAAACATTTCAATTGTGAGCTCAACAAAGAGTGTGTGAGAAGTGCAAAGCGCATGCATTTCTGTCTTAGTCACACACTCCTCTTTAAATTATCTAACAGACAGAGCTGCACACCATGGGGAAAAGCAAAGGTACTGATGACAACAAAAAAAGCGTGCCTCTAAATCTTTGAGATAAGATTTGACAGCCCTTTCTATTGCAGAGGATGACATTGGGTAAACAGTTTTCAGTAAGCAGCGCAAGAATAAAACGCAGCTTTCAACACCCTGAGCAGTGCCAGCAACCTGCACAAAGCTGGCTGGCCCAAACCAGGGCATTCAGACTTAATTTCCTACTTGCAGCAAAAAAAGAGAACTTGATTCGAAAATAACATCAGCAATCTCCACTGTTACACCCAGTCAAGAAATGACTAAGAACATCAATCCCTGCCTTTGGAAGGCTTCACTGCTATGGATCTATTTGTAGTGTTCTGGAATATCTCTTTCTTGTGAAATGTAAGCACTCATGCTTGTTTTCAACTCGCATTCCATTCAACAGCTTTAAGACTGCCTTTAGCATTTAGAGTAAGGGTTGCCTTGTAGCATTGTAAGTGCATACAGGCTACACACAGCACTTGTCCTCTGGATCCTACCATAATATGAGAAAACCTAAGGGCACATTGCTCTCTCCATGCAGCATCAACTATGAGGAACTTGAGGCATTACCAATGCCATCAGAGCCAAAGGGCACCTTGTGCATCCTTCACTGCATTTCTGTTAAAACATGGCTATTTTTAAGGAATCCTTCGAAGTAACAAGGGGAAAAATGCAACTTGTGTATTTTGTATAATTATCCCTGCAACAACACCAAACTACAGCTCTGCTGAAGCCAGCAACTTACAGTGACTCTGAACTTTGTTATCAAACACAGCATCAGGATGAATTAGCAGATGGAGTAAAAACATGGCAGACTAATTTACAAAAATAAATGCATGATTCATTCTTCAGTAAATATAAGTTTAAAATATGACATGGACGCTATATTAAATAATTAACAGACACGACAAGGAGTAGGTAACTGTCCTGCTAACCAATTTTCAGGGACACGTTTGGGATGTGAAAAATACTACGGTATAACACAGCTGGGAAAAGAAAGTTTAAAACAGTGCACACAGTTGTAGCTCTTGGAAAGCGTGCATGTATAGAGGAACGCATTTCAGTGCTTTACATGCACATAGATAAAACGGAGGAGAAAGGATCTGGGAACTTCAAGCATTTACTGCTTGAAAATAATAAAACAAAGGAAAAAAAAAAAAAAACAATTCTGGGAAACTTTCTTAAGGACAAGCTGTATCTCCATGTTGAAACATGCATATCCTAAACCATATCGTAACTGTCTATCTTAAAAGCAGCGTTTTATTACTTCCACCCTCAGAATGAGTCACCATTCCATGCATGCAAAGCTAACAATTACTTTGCTCTGAATGTTTTCCTCCTATTTTAGGAACATCATGACTTTCTCCTATTCTCCAACACGCCTTTCTGTCTAACAAGAGGCCATGACTACGTGCCACTGCAGGGACTGTGCCAGGTTCATCCTCCTCCTTATCAAGCACTTGAGCTCGTTGGGTTCACCCTACTGAACAAACCAGTACAGAACTGCAGAGGCTGGAAGGAACCTCAGGTAATTAGGCAACCCGAGGTATGCAAAGCAAGCATGGAGAACATGAGACAACACAAAATATCTCCTCTATGACGTGCTTACAATTTCTGACCTTAAATAAATACAAACATTAATTCTTTAGCCTCTAAACACCATCTCTGCACTTGTAGCACCTGTTGCCAAACAAAATAATGTAAAGACACTGTAGTGCTATGAAATACACTTGTATTTCTTGTAATTACATGCTGTTACTAAATGCATATCTTAAGCCTTCTTACTAATGAGAGAATAATAAACACCATCATATGCACTAAATGCTATGACTTAGTCTTTCCCATTTTCCTCTACTGAAAACAGAAGTTACACTGTATTGTAGTCCAGCTTACAAACCCGGCATTCTTTATATTCCTATCAATACAGTAACATCTTATTTGGCTATTTGATGTAAACACTTAATTTTCTATTAAATATTTGTAAATTTGCTTATGCTTTTTCTTTTGATACACTCACATTTGTCCTATCTAATGACTGAAGTAAGAAACATTTCTACTGATGTTAAGCATTCATCAGCACGCTATTTGTGCGCTATTTCAACACAATTCTTTCTCAAATCAAGAGAGACATCAAGGAAAACAATTTTTTATGGTTCAGTAATTGAAAACACAGCAGTCAATGTAAGTAATTACAGAATAATAAAGTAACTTCTATTGATTCTGCCTAAGGACGTGATGCAAGCTGACATGTCCAGCACAGAGTTAAATTAAACACAGAAGCAAGATTTCCTTTTATGTAGGGGTGGGATGGAAAATCTGAAGTATCTATGTATTTTCTCTGCTAACTTGAGCAAGAGAAAAGTTAAATGATAAAAAGAGAAGAA